TACTACTACTACTATACTACTACTTACTACTACTACTGCTAAGACTATACTACTACTACTACTGCTGCTACTGCTACTGCTACTACTAGTACTACTACTACTACTACTACTACTACTACTACTACTACTACTACTACTAGTAGTACTAGTACTAGTACTATTACTACTACTACTACTACTACTACTACTACTACTACTACTACTACTACTCTCTCGTGGGGGCCCCTCGTGGGGCCACGAAACGTGTGAGGGTGATCTGACATGGGCACCGTGTGAAGGCTATTCGAACATGGGCTTGAAGCGTCGCATGGAGACATCCCGTAGGGGCAAGAAAACGTTTGAAAGGTGTTCCGAAATGGGCTCGAGGCGTCCCGTAGAGACCCCTCGTGGGGCCAGGAAGCGTGTGAGGGACGTTCCAAAGTAAGCCGAGGCGTCCCGTGGAGGCCCATCGTGGGGCCACGAAGCGTTCGAGGAGTGCTCCGAAATGGGCCCGCGGCGTCCCTTGGGGACCCCTCGTGGGGCCACGAATCGTAATAATGGTGCCACGAACTTGGCCCGAGGCGGCCCGTGGAGACCCCTCGTGTGGCCACGGAACGTATGAGGGGTGCGCCGATCTGAGCCCGAAGCGTCCCGTGGAGACCCGTCGTGGGGCAAGGAAACATATCAAGGGAGCTAGCATCCGAAATGAATCCCGATGCCTTCGGTGGAGGCCCCTCATGGGCCAACGAAACGTGTGAGAGGTACCCCCAAATGAGCCCGAAGCGTCCCGTGGAGAACCGTCATGTGACACTGAAACATGTCCGAATGTTCCGACATGGGCCCGAGACGCCCCGTGGTGACACTCCTCAAAGGCTGTGAACAGTGTGAAGGGCACCCCGAAATTGACCCGAAGCGTCACATGGACCCCCCTCATGGGGCCACGAAACGTGCGAAAATGTTCCGATATGAACGCGATGCGTCCCGTGGAAACCCTCAAACGGCAACGAAACGAGTGAATGGTGCTCCGACATGGCCCCGAAACACCTGAGATGATCCGCGATGACCTCAGTGAGACACCTTGTGGGCCACGAAACCTCAGTGGGACACCTTGTGGGCCACCTCAGTGATACGCCGAACTTGACCCGAGGCGTCCCTAGGAGACGCCCCGTATGGCCACGAAACGTGTAGGGTACTCCTAAATTGGCCCAAGGCATCCGGTGGAGACCCCTCGTGGGGCCACGAAGCGTGTGAAGAGTGCTCCGGAATGGGCCCGAGGCGTCCCGTGGAAACCCCTCGTGGGGCCACGCAACGTGTGAGGGGTGCTCCGAAATGGGCCCGTGTTGACACGTGGAGACCCCTCGTGGGGCCACGAAACGTGCTGCATCATATATGTGCCCTATACGGTTTCCGCGGAATCATGTAGGACTCCGTGAGCGTGGGCGTGGGCGTGGGCTTGCATGTGGGAGTGGGGGTGGGTGCGGGCGTGGGGGGCGTGGGCGTGGGCGTGGGCGTCGGTGTGGGTGCTGGCCTGCTGCCCCCCCCCCCCCGGGGACGGGACGCACGAAGGCGTTGCCGCCAACAACAACAACACGACCACCACCGCCAACACCACCACCAACGACGACGGCGACGACGACAACAAATTTAAAGACTGTTCGCTCTCATCCGATCGCGTGCCATCTTCGATGCCCGCAATCTTCGTCTCCGACACTCACGATACTGGCCATCTTCGTTTTCGACCCTACAGCCTTGGGGGTATACCTTTCTTACATGCAGCGTGTATTTCGTGCAGTCCCCTGAGGCTGGGGAAGAGACGACTGGTGGGAAGGAGGGACAAAGGGTGAGGAAGGAGGATGGAACACGAGAGAGAACACCAAGAGGGGGGCTGAGAACAGAAAAAACGTGGCAGAACCAGACGGGCAGATCGGGCGGGTAGGCCCTGACAGACGGGTCGGGAAGGAGGGCCCAGGCGGCCAGGTCGAGCAGGCGGGTTGCGGAAGCGTGCGCCCTGCATGAATGTGAGGAGGTCTCGAGCGACGGGGCGATTCCCACAGACACTGCGAGGAAATCCGCAAGAGTGCGTGATTCCTGAGTGCCGAGGGCGCGGCGGCTGGAACAAATGCGAGGAAATCCCACGCGAGAGCGCGATTCCTTTATAAAATGTGAGGAAATCCCGCGCGAGAACACGATTTGGGAATACATTGTGAGGGCGTATAAGGTGGGAGCCGTTGTTGTTGTGACTCGGGGGCAAGGGGGGCACTGAGACCAAAGACCTTCCTTTACAACAAAAAACGGGATGCGAGCTACGGGAAGAGTACTTCAATTGAAAGACCACGATGTGCCCCAGAGGGGGGGATCAACCAACAACTACAATCATGTTAAGACTTCGCTCTTACTGGCACGCGTGTTTTGCGATCTGTGTACCCCAACCCTCGATACTCACCCACTTCGTCTTCGATTGCACCCCGTTTCGCGGGAACTATCTTCGTTGTCGGCCACTGCCTGAAGTGCGAGGAAGTCTCGAGAAAGAGGGAGCGCCGTTCATGAGTTCGGGGGCCTCTCTGGCCAAGGGCTCCTTGAATGTCATGGAGAAATACCGAACGAGAGCCCTTGTCGCCGTGTCTGGGCTTTCACCAACTTGTTTGAATTACGAGAAAGTCTCGAGCGAGAGCACCGTTCCTGAGTTCAAGGGCCTTCCTGGCCAGGGGCTCTCCAAGTAAACCGTGAGGAAATATCGACAAGGGCGGTTGTCGTCGTAGCTGGGCCTCCAAGGGCACACATGTAGACTCAAGCCAACGCTCGCGCGGAAGTCGCGTTGTCACAGGAAATGTAACCGGCGTCGAATCCAGAACGCGCGGAACGGTTTACAGATACCAGCAATACTTATTCTCTAGAAATGAATACTGGACAGCAACAGCAACAGCAACAACACCACCACCACAAACAACAACAACAACAACAACAACAACAACAACGGAGCAGCAACAACAACAACAGCAGCAGCAGCAGCAACAACAACACCACCACCACCACCACCAACAGCAGCAGCAGCAGCAACAACAACAACAACAACAACAACAACAACAACAACAACAACAACAGCAATGTCAGCAACAACAGCAACAACAGCAACAACAGCAACAACTGCAACAGCAACAACAACTGACATGTTAAGACTGTTCGCTCTGATCAGCTCGGGTGTCATTCAACGTTTATTTCCCGTGCCTTCGATACCCGCCCTCTTTGTCTTCGATCGTGCCCCTTCGGGGGGGGAGATCTTTCTTCCCTGCAGTCCGACCCCGGCAAGCGGCAGGGCGGCCGCGGACCGCGGCCTGACCAGCGGCAACGTTGATCGGCGGCAACCCGACCCCAAGAGGAACGGACAGGGCACCGACCATGCCGACGACGACGACGAAGCCGACGCCGACAACGACGACCAGTGAAAGCGAGAGCCAGAGCGACAGCGGGGCCACGAACGGCAGGAAGGGGGCAACGAAGGGCGACAGCGGAGCCACGAAGGGCATGCGCATGAGGCAACGCATGGCGCGAACGAGCGGGGGCCACGAAGGGCAGATAATGCTGAGCCACAGAAACCAACGACGAGGCCACTGAGGGTAGCAACTGGGCCACGTCGGACAGCGAGGGGGGCACAAAGGGCAACAGCGGGGCCACGAAGGGCATACATATTGGACCACGACGGGCGCGAACGAGCGGGGACCACGAATGGCATACGTAGATTAGGCCGCAGAGGGCAAGGACGGGGGCACTGAAGACAGCAACGGGGCCACGAAGGGCAGCGAGGGGGCCACGAAAGGCGACAGCGGGGCCACGAAGGGCATGCATATGGGGCCACGACGGGCGCGAACGAGCGGGGGCCACGAAGAGCATACATATATGGGGCCACGAAGGGTAGCGAGGTGGCCACGAAGGGCGAAAGCGGGGCCACCGAGGGCAATGAGGCGGCCACGACGGGCTGCAACGGGGCCACGAGTGGCGGCGAGGGGGCCACGACGGGCTGCAACGGGGCCACGAAGGGTCGCAACGGGGCCACAAAGGGCAGCGATGGGGCCACGAAGGGGTGCAACGGGGCCACGAAGGGCATCGAGGGGGCCGCGAAGGCCTGCAACGGGGCCACGAAGGGCATGCATATGGGGCCACGAAGGGTAGCGAGGGGGCCACAAAGGGCAGCGATGGGGGCCACGAAGGGCTGCAACGGGGCAGCGAAGGGCAGCGAGGGGGCCACGAAGGGCTGCAACGGGCTCACGGGGGGTATCGACGGGGCCACGGAGGGCTGAGCGGAGCCACGAGGGGCAGCGCTATCCCGATTCCTAAGTGAGCTGTGAGGGAGTCTTAAGCGTGAGCGCGACTTCTTGGTGTCTGAGTGTCAGGGGCACGGCGCTTGATTAAATTGCGGCGAGCTCCACCGCAAGAGCGAGATTCTTAAGTAAATTGAAAGCGAGTCTCCAGCGAGATCGCGACTCCAGAGCGATTCCTGAATACGATTCCAGAGTAAAACGCATGGAAGTCTTAGGCGGGAGCGGGGGTCCTGGCTAAAGGGTGAAGAGATCTCAAATTGGAGCCGCTGCTGTTGCAATCCGGGGGCCAACAACACAATTTGAGCTGAATGGCGTTCCCTGATGAGAAAAACCAGGTGCGAGCCCGGGAGAAAGACTTCAGCTGAAAAATCACGATGGTCACCAGAAGGGGGATCAACCATAGTTCTTCTTCAGCTGTGAGTTCAACAACAACAAGCATTTTAAGACTGTTCGCTCTTATCTGCTCGAAGGGCATTCAGCGTCCATTTCCCGAACCCTCGATACCCGCCCTCTTCGGTTTCGATCATACCACTTTTGGTTGGTATAGACTCTTGTGACTTCTGCGTGATTAGCCGGGAAATTTCCAGGGAGAGAGCGACTCCCAAGTAAACCCGAGGAAGTCCCCAACGAACGCGCGATTCCTGAATGGTAAGAGCGCGGCGCCTGAGAAATTTGTAAGGAAGGCTCAGGCGGGAGCGCGATTCTTGAGTGAATTGCGAGAAGGCCTCAAACGGGAGCGGAGGACCGGAGAATATTGGGAAGATTCATCAAGCGGGAACCGTTGTTGTTCTTGTTGTAAACAAGGGGCCAGGGACGCAGTATGAGAAGGAAGGCTTTCCCTGATAAAAGCAGGGTGCCAGCGCCGGGAGGGGCACTTCAATTGAAAACCTGCAGTATGCACCGGACGGGGACAAATCATACTTTTTGAGAATAATGAGAAGTCAACAGCACCAGCAACAAGAAACAACAATACGAATCATTTTAAGACTGTTGGCTCTTATCTGCGTGAGTTCCCGTTAACGCGTATTTCCCGTGCCCTCGATACCCGCCCTCTTCGTCTTCTCGGGAGCGGCCAAGAGGGGGGTGTCCATGAGGGGGGGGTGCAAATCATGACCGGCGGCATGTGCGCGGCCCACCGGGAGGGCCAGGGACGCAATGGAATAAGAAGAGGCGCCGCGAAATCTGGGGAGATATCATGGCCCACGCCATGATATCCACCCCCCCTAGTCATCACCCCCCTCTTTTCCGCCCCCGATCTTCGGTCGTGCCCCTTTTGGGGCAGGCCGAGCCCGGGCAAGCGGCGGGGCGGCCGCGGACCGTCGGCCTGGCCCGCGGCAGCGCTGACCGGCAGCAACCCGACCCCGAGAGGAACGGACAGGGCACCGACCACGACCACGGCGACGACGACGGCGGAACGACGACGACGACCAGCGAAAGCGAGAGCGAGAGAGTTAACGACAGCGGGGCCACGAAGGGCAGGAAGTAGGCCACTAAGGGCGACAGCGGGGACAAGAAAGGAATGCGCATGGGGCCACGAAGAGCGCGAACGAGCGGGGGCCACGAAGGGCAGATAATGCGGAGCCACAGAAAGCAACGACGGGGCCACTGAGGGTACCAACTGGGCCAAGTCGGAAAGCGAGGGGGGCACAAACGGCGACAGCGGGGCCACGAAGGGCATGCACATGGGGCCACGACGGGCGCGAACGAGCGGGGGCCACGAAGGGCATACGTAAATTGGGCCGCGGACGGCAAGGACGGGGCCACTGAGGACAGCAACGAGGCCACGAAGGGCAGCGAGGGGGCCACGAAAGGCGACAGCGGGGCCACGAAGGGCATGCATATGGGGCCACGACGGGCGCGAACGAGCGGGGGCCACGAAGGGCATACATATATGGGGCCACGGAGGGCAGCGAGGGGGCCACGGAGGGGTGCAGCGGGGCCGCGAAGGGCAGCGAGGCGGCCACGACGGGCTGCAACGGGGCCACGAATGGCAGCGAGGGGGCCACGAAGGGCTGCAACAAGGCCACGAAGGGTTGCAAGGGGGCCACAAAGGGCAGCAAGGGAGCCACGAAGGGGTGCAACGGGGCCACGAAGGGCAGCGAGGGGGCCGCGAAGGGCTGCGAGGGGGCCACGAAGGGCATGCATATGGGGCCACGGAGGGCTGCAACGGGGCCACGGAGGGCAGCGATGGGGGCCACGGAGGGCTGCAACGGGGCCACGAAGGGCAGCGATGGGGGCCACGGAGGGCTGCAACGGGGCCACGAAGGGCAGCGATGGGGGCCACGGAGGGCTGCAACGGGGCCACGAAGGGCAGCGATGGGGGCCACGAAGGGCTGCAACGGGGCCACGAAGGGCAGCGAGGGGGCCACGGAGGGCTGCAACGGGGCCACGAAGGGCAGCGAGATCCCGATTCCGAAGTGAGCTGTGAGGGAGTCCTAAGCGTGAGCGCGACTCCTGGGTGCCTGAGTGTCGGGAGCGCGGCGCGCAGGTAAATTGCAGGGAGCTCCAAGGCAAGAGCGCGATTCTTCAGTAAATTGAAAGCGAGTCTCCAGCGAGAGCGCGACTCCAGAGCGCCAAGAGAGCGATTCCGGAATACATGCGAAGGAAGTCCCAAGCGAGAGCGCGATTCCAGAGTAAAACGTAAAGCAATCTCAGACGGGAGCGGGGGTCCTGGCTAAATTGTCGAACGGGAGCCGTTACTGTTGCAATCCGGGGGCCAACAACACAATTAGAGCTTAGTGACCTTCCCTGATACAAAAAACAGGGTGCAAACGCTGAGCGCTGGGAGGGGCACTTCAATTGCAAAAACTACAATGTGCACCGGAGGGGGGATCAAAAATCATTATTATTCCGTAGTGGGAGTTCATCAACAACAGCAGCAACAATCAAACAGTACGCACAAACACTAACAATACCACTAACAACAACAAGATTGACAACACCAACAGCAACAGCACCAGCAACAACACCAACAACAACACCAGCAACAACACCAACAACAGCAACAACAACATCACCACCACCAACAACAACATTCATGTTAAGACTGCTCGCACGTGCCAATCTATACGTGTATCCCAAGCCCTCGGTACCTGCCCTCGTCGTCTTCGATCGTACCCCCTTGGGGGTATATCTTGTTTACCTGCCACGTGCATTTAGTGCAGCCCCTAAATCAGGAGAAAAGATGACGGGTGAAGGGGGAGGGACAAGGATGGACCTCGAGAGAGATTAGCAGGAGGGGGGCAAAAACAGAAAACAAGTGGTCGAACCAGACGGGCAGATCGGGTGTGCAGACCCATGGCGGGAAGGTCGGGAAGGCGGGCCCAGGCGACCAGGTCGAGCAGGCGGGTTGCTGAAGCGTGGGTTCTGCATGAATCGCGAAGACTTTTCGAGCGATAGCGCGATTGCCAAAGAAAACCGCGATAAAGCCCAAAGCGAGAGCGTGACTCCTGAGCGCCGTCTGAATAAATTGTAATGGATTTCCACAGGAGAGCACGATTCCTACATAGATTGTGAGGAAGTCCCGCGCGAGAGCGCGACTCCCCAATACATGCCGAAGAAATATCAGGCGGGAGACGTGGTTGTTGAAATCCGGGGGCCAACAACACGATTTGAGCCGAGTGTTTTCCCCTGATACCAAAAAAACAAAGTGCGAGCCCCGGGGAAAACACTTCAATTGCAATAACACGATGGTCACCGGAGGGGGGGATCAAACATAAGTTTTCTTGAGTAGTGAACGTTCAACAGCAATAACAGCAACACCAACAACAACAACAACAACAACAACAATCACTTTACCCGAACGCTCAGTGTTCTCACCAGTGCCAGGGTTTTCATGCGACGCCAGCCAATACCCCCACTTTGTGGGGGGGCAGTGCAAGCTCTACCAAATATCCACACGACTCTTCGCCACCACCCACACCCAGCTTCCCGCCCTATGACGTTCGGACACTTCACTTCGTGGCCTGCGGACGACCGTGGCTACTACACTGGCGTGGAGTACACACCCACAGAAGTTGTTAGGACAGCGCGCGCGGGTAGAAATTTTGAAAAGTCGTGCAGGTGTTTTTCGAGGACCTACGGTGCGATTCGTGTGATTTTATGATGCGCGGTGCTAAAATTCTTAAGAAGCCCAATGGTTTTTGGAGATTTCGGCGTGCGCGCGCGAAGAAAAAACGAATGTGTCCCGCATGGTATTATTTGACAGGGATGATGGCCCTGGCAGGTGCGCAACCGTTGTCGCAGAAGTTCGAAAAAGTTGCTCGCAAAAGCCCGTTTGACAGAAATGTTTAAAAAGTGTTGGGTTTCCTACGAATCCGCAAGAGCGCGCGGGATGAGATTTTGACATTTTTTTGTTGAAAAACCATTGGTTTTTTGATGTTTTTATGTTAAAATCGCTCCGAACACTAAGCTTTTGGAAGGATTTCGTCTTGCGCGCGCGAATGTCCACTTTACCTTATTTTTTGCAAGGGATTCTTGAAATTTGATTATATTAGAACAAGAAATGTCATTTTATAGTGTTTTTTGCAAGGGAAAGCGGGGGGGAACAAAACAACCGGATCTTGATCACATCGAATTACCTGAGGCTTCCTCACGAAAATGATGAAAATGTAGCTGCGGCCTAGGCGGCGCAGGGGGGCCGTGCACCAGGGGTCCCAACAATAATTATTCTTTAGAATTAATAATGTTCAACACAACAACAGCAACAGCAACAGCAACAGCAACAGCAACAGCAACAGCAACAACAACAACAACAACAACAACAACAACAACACACAACAACAGCAACACGCAACAACAAACTGCATCGCATAATCTCACTTCAGCCACGCGCCCACGGACAGAGAATGACCGTTCGGCCCCAACACTGTGATTAGAGGTCTCTGAAAGACCACGAGCTGAAAACACACAGCGTTCTTCGCATGAGAGCTGAGAACACACGCGGCGGTTCCTCGCATGAGAGCTGGAAGAACACCGAGGTCGGGCATTCCACAGGATACGATGGAACTGGTCAGTGCCGAAGATCTGGCCGTGGACTGGGCCCTGGCTATTTTCCAGTCGAGCGCGCAAGATCGCACTGCATCGCCGACGCACCGACGGCACAGCGGCGACGTCGGGACGGGGAGGATGGGGCTGCAGGTCGCGCAGCATCGCTGGTGCGTCATCGATGCGGTGCGATCTCACAGTGGAGGCCAGTCCACGAGACACCTGCCACAAAAAATCCAAGCCTGAGACCCTAGGACGTCGGTGCGGTGACGCCACGCCTTCCACAGCAAAACTATTGAAACCCAAGAAGCCCAAACACCCTGGAGGCAAGCAGGGTGTTTCTTGACATGGGCCCCCACTGCAGGGGACCCCCAGGCACAAAGAAGCACCCGAGGCGCCTCCCCTTCCCACCCACTCGACGCCCAGCCGGAAATCCGCGCGGACCTCCGAAGGCCTTGCCAGGTAGACCTGGCCAGGCCTGGAGAGACGAGCGTAGTAGAGAAGAATTTCCGGCTCACTGGCTGAGATGCAGCGGCGAACGCATCCAGACAGAAGAGTGCAACGCCGCCAAGAGAGCCAAGTGAAGATGATTGGGCGGGGTGGGGCAGGGCAACAAACGGAGCGTGGGAGGAGCTATGAACGAGATGGCCGTCGCTGGTGCCTCTGAGGTTGGGGGCCCTCGTGGGCCCGAAGCAGCACCAAGCACGTCAGAACTCATCCCTGGACCCCATGGGGCTGAGGGGCTACGATAGGGTGGGGCTGGCACAGGGGGGGATGAATCGACCTGGAATCGGCGAGACATCACTGATAGATCGGCCATAGGGCCCCGACCGTGAATCCGCACCTTCCTGTGCAGGTTGGGGCTATCGGGCCCCTGCCGCCGATCCATGGGCGACTGGGGGTCGATGCATCCCCCCCTACGCCTATCCCCCCCTGCCGCTGCCCCCGAGGACGAAACTGGCGTGCCCGCGCCAGCCCCCGGGGGCCCCGGCCGCATGGCGCGTGGCCGCCTCGACGCTCACGGCCAGAGCACGGCCTCGGGAGGAGGAGGAGGAGGAGGAGGAGGAGGAGGGGGAGGAGGAGGAGGAGGAGGAGGAGGAGGAGGAGGAGGAGGGGGAGGAGGAGGAGGAGGAGGAGGGGGAGGAGGAGCGGCGGGAGACCTCCGCCCTCCTTTTCCCGCGCGGGTGGCGGGCGGCAGCCCCGCGCGAGCTCGCGTTCGCGGCGGGGGCCGCGGCGGCGCCCGCACGCGGCGACGCCGGCGCACGGCGGCCGCCGAGGTCGGCGGCTCGAGAAGGGGGTCCTGAGGGATGGGGCCCCGATGAGATACACACGTACTCCAAATCTCATAATAAAGGGGAGGGGGTCAAAAAGACGTTTGACAGCCCGAAGTAGACCCCCCCCCCAGACAGGCAACAAAGGGTCCAAAATCGAGACCCCCCTACAATTGTGCTTGACGAAGCCCGTTAACCCCCCCCAAAAGCAGACCCCCCCCATTGTTATGAGATCCGGAGTGCTGTATGTCCTCCCTGGAGGCGCGCGTCCGACCCGAACATGTGGTATCCCCACATTGTGGTACACCGTTTCCCGCGCGGTGTGCCCGAAAAGCGCCAGCCACGACCCATGTGCTAGAGGAGTTCTCGGTGCGCGCGTCGCCCCTGGGGGAGGAGAGGGGGGCGACGCACACATAGTATCAGTATTTGGGGATGACGCCGACCTGAGAATAGGTGGGTCACAGGGCGATCCTTCACGGATTGAGCTTCTCTCGCCCCCAGGGCCTCACCGAGCAGGGCCCAAACTCTGAACCGCCGAGATCGGCGGTTCAAAGATGCGGCCCTGAGGGATGGGGCTCTGACTGATAGGGCCCTGATGGTAGCAAGTGTATTACGGGATGAGTCTTGACGGACTGAGACTCTCTCGTTCTTGAGGCACCCCTCGGGGCCCCAACTCTGAACCGCCGAGATCAGCGGCTCAAAGATGGGGATGGCAAGCGGTTCAGGGGGTGCGCCTTCACGGATTGAGACTCTCTCGACCGTAGGGCCCCATCCCCACGGGGCCAAAACTCTGAACCGCCGACATCGGCGGTTCAAAGAAGGGGCCCTGAGGGACAGGGCCCTATCCCAGGCGCAAACTCTGCTTCCAGACCATCCCAAACCCAAAGACCCCAACTTCGGGTTGGCGGGGGTACGGTTCCACAAGTGTGTTTCTCAATGCTCCCCGACGCCCCCCCCTATTGGAAGTAGGGGGCAAATTGGGGCCTTCGGGTTGGGTTGGGGCGTTTTGGTGGGTGGTGACCTTCAGGGCCCCCAACTCTGAACCGCCGACAGAGATGAGTATCGTTCAACCGATCCCCATCCCCAGCGGCGTGGCCTGAGCCCCACTGGCCGAATTCCCCCCCCTAGACGGGTATGTACAGGCCGTCCCCGTCGGGTCTCGGGGGGTGTATCCCCAACTGGGGTGGTGATGTGGTGGGGGGCCTCGAGGGGGAGGGGGAAGGGCACGGGGATCGGTTCAACGACACCGAAAAGGAGCCGGGGAGACGTAAGACTCGGGTACGGGGAACTCGGGTTGGCCTGACGGGGGCCGGCGGGAAAATGACGAAACTTCATCTGAAATTTGACGCGAGCTCCCGTGGTGAGGGGGAGGAGGGGGAGAGGGAGGAGGGGGAGGAGGAGCAGGAGGAGGAGGAGGAGCAGGGGGAGGAGGATTAGGGGGAGGGGAGGGGGAGGGGGAGGGAGGAGGAGGAGGAGGAGGAGGAGAGGAGGAGGAGGAGGAGGAGGAGACCCCACGAAACCCGGACCGTCAAAATCCAGGGCGGGCCCGCCAAAAGACCGTGGGCGAGCCCGAGCTCCGGCGCCATCGAGTCTCTTACGCTCTCCCCCGAGGGAGGGGGGCCCGGCCGCGCCCCGCCGCCGGAGACCCGCCCGCCGCCCGCTGGCGCGGGCCGACCGCGGCGCTCGCCGGCGGGGGGCCCCCGCGGGCGGTGCGCCCGCGCGGGTCGCGCGCGCGCGCGCAGCGGCGCGGCGGCGCGGCGGCGCGAGGGCGCCCCAGCGGCGGCGGAGAGGCCCAGGGCCGCACTACCTGGACGACGACGACGACGACGACGACGACGACGACGACAGACGACGGCGACGACGACGACGACGACGACGACGAGTGACGACGACGAGTGACGACGACGACGACGACGACGACGACGTCGACGACGACGACGACGAGTGACATCGGTCTCGCGCGCGCTGACACAGCGACCCGACGCCGCGGCCTGCGCGGGCCGCGGGCGTGGCACACCACGTGGGGCAGAAGGCGCCCTCGCGCGACACTTCACGCGGGAAGTGCACGTGCGAATGCCAGCTAGGGCTCCCAACTTCGCGCTTCGCGCTGCGCGAAGCGCGACGCGCGAATAACTTCGCGCTCTCGCGCCGCCCTCCCAAAGGGAGAATAGGAGGACGAGGAGGAGGGGGAGAAGGAACGAGGACCGCGAAGCGCGAAGCGCGAATAACTTCGCGCCCTCGAGGGAGCCCTTGGCCAGCGCAGTCGACCTCGTTTTCTTCCGACGTTCGCCTGGCCGCGGCCGCGTCGGGCTGGTCGCGGGGCTCGAGCGCCAGCGCCCCCGGAGGCGCGCCCGCGTGCTCCAGGGCGCGCGCGGCGCGCCAGAGGACGCCTGGCGGCAGGTCGTACCGCTTTATGTCCAGCAACACCTGCAGGGGGGGGGGGCGCCAGGGAACACTCCCGCAGGGAGGAAGGATGAATGCACTCTGCGAGAGTGGTTTCGTGTTCGCGTTTCATGTCGCATCTGGCCTTTCAAAAAATCGCGCGAACCTACCAGGTCTGTGTTTCTTCTCTGCAGGGCCCCATCCTGGCCAGGCCCATCCCTGGGTCGGGGCCCGGGAACACTCCGACCCTGGAACCCAGGCTCGGGTGATGCAAATGTCACTGGTTCAAAATTCTAGACGCTTCGCGTATCCCCACCAGCCCGTCCAGAAACGACGCCCAGGCGAGTAGAGGGTCGTCCTGAGGGGCTTTTCGGCGTCTTGGGTGCCTCGGGGGGGCCTCTGTGGGCCGTTCGGGATCCTCTTTGGGGCCTCCTGGGGGCCTCGTGGGGCCTCTTGGGGCCATCTTGGGGCCTGTGGGGGCCTCCTGGGCGCTTCTTGGGGCCTCCTGGGCGCTTCTTGGGTGCCTCTGGGGGGTTTCTTGGGGCCTCTTGGGGGTCTCTTGGAGGCCTCCTGGGGGCCTCTTGGGGGGCCTCGGAGCCATCTTGGAGGAGATCGATCAACGAAGGGGGGCTCCCTAATTACAGCCCCCCCCTCAGGAGCCACGATCCTCGTGAGGGGTGTCGAATTTTAGCCCTCCCAAGGGTCGATCTTGGGCGCTCCAACGCGCCGCGGAACCCCCTGTCCAGGTCAGTGGGGAGGGGGTAGGGGGAGGGGTAAACCCCTCCCCGAAGGGGGAAGAGGGAGGGGTGGAAGAGGAAACTCGTTAAACCACCGACGCCCTGAGGGCTGGTGGGATTTCGCCGAGACCTCCTACCACAGCCTACGCAACACCTGTCACGAGGCACAAAGGGCCTCAGGGGCTTCAAACTAGCAGGGAAAATTGGGGCACCCTGGGCCAGGGGCAGAAACGTACACTGTCGGAGGTCCGCGCGGACCCTCTTCCCTGGCTCGCGGGGCGCGCCAAGGTCGGCGCTGGAAGCGCCGCCAGGGAGTCCCAGCGCCGACCCAAGAAATCGGCGCGGACCTCAGAAAGTTTAAATTTATCTCGCTGTTCGTTCATCGAAGGACCACCTCCAGCAATAACCGACAGGCTGGGGTAGTGGGGCGTCAACGATACAACTACACCGACCCTGCCAACGCCCATCCTGGACCCAAGAGCGGCGCATGCGCCCAGCAAGCTGGCTTGGGCAAGACAGCGTGCACGCCGACCCTGGTGCGCAGATCCAGGGCCCAAGATCGACCTGGCAAGGATTGGTCTAAATGTATATAGCTGTTGCCTTCCGAAGGGGAGTCGGCCTGGCGGGGACGGGTTCGTGTGCGGGTGTGCAGGCATTCATGGGGGCCTCCGTGGACCTTCGCGGCCCTATCATGAACATGATGTCGGCCAGATTTCGGCCAAACCTGTGTACCTTTTCCTTCAGATTTCGTCCGGAATTCGTCAAAATTAAAAGAAATCCGGTCGATATGCCCCAGAAGGCATGGAATTCTGAAACCTCTCAGGCCCCCACGATTCGGCGGGCAGCCCGGGAGGGGAATGAGAGGGTGAGCCTTCTAAGAAGGCTCAAGCATTTCCTCTTTTATCATGCGTTCGGGCATCATCCTGATCCTGTGGATGGGACATCGGTCTGACTGTTCTGGTGGGCCATCTACTAGTGGTTGTCCCAAGTTGAGTGTCGGAGAGGACGTCCTTGACGCCATGGCTGGGATGTCCGTTATGCAGGCGTACTAGCCTAAGGATGTGTGTGTGCGTGCGTGTGCGCGCGCGTATGCGTGCGCGCGCGCGCGACTGGACTTCTACGCTAAGCACGGCAGAGCAGCTGCGAAAGACAATGTCAATGTTGACGAGATGGCGCCGCCGGCCCTCTGTTGGGGAGCACTGGCGGCGCAGCAAAAGAAAGCGAAGGGAGCTCGGCGAGGGGCGAAACCCCCTCCTACTACTATACTCCTTATCCTCCTCCTCCTCCTCCTCCTCCTCCTCCTCCTCCTCCTCCTCCTCCTCCTCCTCCCGAGGCTGGCCCAGAGCGGGGACTGCGCGCGCGGGCGGACGTCGACCGAGAGCGGGCGCCCCGGGGCACGGCGGGGCGAGCCGGCCCGAGGCCGGCGCGCCCCGGCGGCCTGAAGAGACAGACTTCGCCCCGTCCCACGGCGCTTCGGCCCCCGCGGCGCCGCGCCAGAAGGCCTTTGCGGCGCGCGCGCAGAAAGGGGGGTTGGGCGCCCGAGTTATCCGGGGTAACTCGGGTCCGGGGTAACTCGGGTTTGGATTCCCGAGAAAGGAACCCGAGTTACCCCTGGCCCGAGTTACCCCTGATGATTCGGGGCTCTGGACGCCCGAGTTATCCGGGATAACTCGGGTCCGGGGTAACTCGGGTTTGGATTCCCGAAGAACGAACCCGAGTTATCCCTGACCCGAGTTACCCCTGATGATTCGGGGCTCTGAGGGGGGGCACTCCTGACATTGCCAATGAGGACAAGCCGACACGGGCCGGCGAGTCCCGCGGTGACAAGAGCGCGTCGGGCCTGGGCGCCTTGGGGGGCTGGAGAAACCCAGCAGGCGACGATGACCAGAGTCGCCGAAGAGCTCACGGCGGCTGAGGCGCGAATCTCTCCCGGAGGCGGATGCGAAGGCCGCGTTTCGAGGGGCCCAGGCAGATCAACTGAGCGCCGAGGCCGTCTCGAGGACGGCGTCGGCCGAGAGCGCAGAGGCGATGGGGCAGGCGCGGGGCGAGGTCGGCGACGCTCGCCGACAGGCGCAAGCCATGGCCCCAATGGAGCGCGCGCGCGCGAATTGCGTTCGCGCTACCGCCGAGGTTCGCGCCGCGCTCGAGCGGACTCAGAGGGTCGAGCAGCGATTGACGAGGTGGCCATCGTGGACCTGAATGCCGAGCGCAGAGCGACGCGGTCCATGGAGGATTGGGAGGCACATCGAGAGAAATTGCACCAACAGCAGGCTGAACTTCACGCGCGCCAGCAGTTGGAGAAAGCTGCGGCGCTCTGCGCGAGGGCTCGAGCACGCTTCTCGGCGGCTGCCGAGGCCCCGGCCCTGCTGGCCAGCTCGCAGAGCTCTGCTGGCCCTCGCATCGCCTGCTCTGGGGCGACGCGAGCCTGCTCCATGCCGCGAATCATCGCGAATCGGTCGCTCCAAGCCTGGACGCGAGAAACAGCGCGCTGTTGAACTCCGGCCATCATGATCAGTCTTCCATTCGCGCCAACTCCTGGCCCCGCTCTTCGGCCATTGCCCCCCGCCTTCGCTCTCCGGCTCGCCCCCGCTCGAATCTACGGAGCGCTGCGCGCCTGTGCGCGAGTGTGGAGACAATCAGGATAGAGAAATATCAAGTCGCATAGGTAACAGCTGACCGCCTGCTTGCACTGCCATCGACCTCCCGGGCAGCGGCGCCCAAGGAATGCCGCGCGCCCGGGGCCTTGATTCGCGCGCGACTCGTCGATGCGAAAACTCGATGCGTCCGAGCGCGCCGTGCAAGCGGAGGAAGACGATGCGCCCGACGGGGCCCTCGACGTCCTGCGTCGGTCGGGCACCGTGCCCCTGGCCTGCGGATAGCGCGTGCGAGGGGCAGGGGCTCTCGTCGCACTCAGTTCCAGGCGCCCCGCGCGCAGCGTCCTCTTCGGACTGACCGGCGGGGAGGGGGGAAGAGGGGGGCCAAGTGCGCAGCCGCCGGGGCCGCCCCCTGGTTGGAGCACCTGGCTCTCCTCTGGAATTCCCTCCGTCTTGGTCCGCTTCGCGAGCGGGGATCTGGCCCGACGGGCTGGTGGCCCCCCGAGGCAGCTTCGCCGCGGGCACTCTTGACCAGTTTGCCTCTTCGGCTTTCTGCTGAGCGGCCGCGGGCAGGCAGGCCATCATCTCTGCCATTCCACCTTGCAGATCTTCCCACGAGGCTTCGGCGACACAGGTTGTCGAAAAGGCAATTGCGTCGGCGGGTGTTCCTGAGCCAATGTCGGAAACGACCCGAGACCACGGGCCTCGGAGTCACCCCCCGATGGGCCTCAGCAGCCGCCCCCCCTTTCAGGCGGGGAATCGACTCGATTGATCGGCCTTCTGCCGAAGAAGAGGTTGCGTGGTCATTCATTTGTTCACCCGATCAATCGGACGGGATCACGTAAGATTGATGGGCGCCGGGCGGCGATGGTTGTCTGTCCAAGACGGTTGACCCATACCTCACGGCGTATGCCTCCGCCTTGTCTGCGTCTGGCCGTGGAGTGTCACGGCGGCCAGGGCCTTCTCCTGCCGGCGAATTTCCCGACGACAACGAGAAATTAATGCTGGGATTCAGTGAACAATCGCGAGTCGGAGTCCGTGGCGCAGTCGGGGGGCTCGGACTCGAAGACGATATTTCGGATTCCTTCTGAGCCGTGGCATTGATCTTCGTTGCAGGGTTCACCTCTGAGAAGCACAGCTTCGTGATCTCATCATGGATTCGGGCGTTGCCTTGATCCTGTTGGTAGGCTCTTGGTATGGATATTACGGTAGATCATCCTCTAATAAGTGTCCAAAGTTGAATCTCGGAAAAGACGTACTTGACGCCATGGCTAGGGTGTCCGCTAAGCAAATATGCCAGTGTAACTGCATGCGTCTGTGCGCCCGACCAGAGGGACGTCACTCGCGCGAGCGGATGTTTACGGAGAGCACAACAGATCAGTTGCAAAATGCATTGGCAATGTTGATACAATGGCGCCGCAAACCTTCAGTTGGAAGGGAAAGGCGGCGCAGCAAAAGAGACCGAGGGGAACTTTAGTACTGAGTGCTCAGAACGTTTACGGGCTGACGGAAAAAATCGGACCGTACGGTCTCGATTCTGTTCTTAGCGTGCATGTACTTCCGGGCACTGCAAAAACCGGAACCGCTGACACGCTAAGCAACGCAGGGGAGCACACGCTAACTTGGGTCGGGTGACGCAGCTCTCGGATATACGCTAAGAGCCTACCACACAGGATACACGCAAAGTGCGAAACACTTAGCGTGTATAGGAGATCCCCAACTACACGCTCAGAATATGACCATGACCCTAATTACCCCGAGTACATAGCAAACCCCTCAAAGGCCGGAGACCTTTCGAGAAACCCCGCCGCTTTCTGAGAGGGGGAAACGTAGCGGCAATGGTACATTTGCCTCCTTCGACGTTTGAGAATGGACGGATGGTGGCGACGCCAATGGGGGGCAGTGGGAGGTGCAACAATCAGCTCGGGCTAACTCTTGCGCGAACTTTTGCTGGGGGGCTCCTTCTCACTTCCCCAACGGCAAGCCGCCGAACGAACGACCATGCGTGTTGGTTAAAGTGGGGGAGACGGGTCCTGAGGAAAGCGGGCCTTGGACCCCAGGACCCTCCCGCAGGACGAGATCTTCATCCCGAGTCCTTTTCTGACGGTCACGGGGCCCGTGGAAGGACCTGAGACGCCAGAAACGGCGAAAAACCTCAGGACCCCCTGGCCTCGGGACCCCTATCCCCCACGGTGCGCTGTGCAGCCGACGCCCCCCGAGCACCGGCAGCGCCGCCAGGAGCGCCGCCGCGCCCGCGCCGGGAGCGGCGCCGCCTCGCACTTCCCTCCTGCTTCCTCCTCCCCTCCTCCCGAACTCCTCCCTCCCGATCGCTCCTCCTCCCTCCTGCCATCCCTCCGCCGCCTCCGCTTCCCTGCCTTCTCGCTCCTCCTCCCTCCTCTCCCTGCCTCCTCCTCCTTCCTCCTCCCTCCTCCTCCTCAATCCTCCCACCTCCTCCGTCCTCTCCCCTTTTTGCCGCTGCTCGGACATTAGGGCTGACCAGTCGCGTGCTGAATTGGTGCAGAACAGTATCGCCGACTTAGGCGTGGTAACAAACGAATGAGGCCGCGGACGGGATCAGAAAAAGAAAAGCAACAAGACACACACACACAAATGATAGTGGCCGTCGAGGGCGAGAATCACCCAGTCCGCGGCACCTGGACAGGAAGAGATACAAGTCACCCATGTACGATAACGTGTGAAGGGAGATACCGAACGAGGAAGACGAACTACAGCTACAGGTGGTCTGGCGCCAAGCTGGTGCAAATACAGTACCCCGCCCCGTGAATGCCTGATACCTCCCCGCCACCTCCCGCAAGCAAAATGATCTTAGTACCCCCGCCGCGTATGGTGATAAATCATGGTGTGGCAAAGCTAACAAGCGACACAAGAAGAGTGGAAATAGGAGGCGTATGCAGACCGTGATATAACAGAAGCGTGCGAGGCTGGCTCTGCAGAAGGCTGGCCTGTGTATTTGGCGTGCTGGCCGTGCCTTCTGGTGGGGTCAGTGCCTGAGGAAATCGCAGACAAGGCGTGGAATGCGGGGAGGGTCGAGGCGAAGACTGGAAAGTGATCCGTACAAGGAGGGTGCTAGCATGGCGGCACTTCTTGGGCTGCCCACTGACTTGCTGAAGGGGTGCTGCATACTGGGCTAGCGTCCGTCCTCATCCTCCTCATCATTCTCCTCCTCCTCCTCCTCCTCCTCCTTTTCCGCCCTCCCTACCTCCCTCCCTCCCTCCCTCCTCCTCCTCCGCCTCCTCCTCCTCCTCCTCGTCTGCGCCTTCGCCCTCCTCTCTGCGAGGGCCGCCTCCCGGAGCCCCACCACTGGCCCAAGAGCCCGCCCAAGACGGGCCTCCACAGGATGGCTCCGCAGGAGCCTGCCCCGGCCGGCTGCTCGCACGGCGCTCGGCGCGCACGGCGACGCGGGGCCCCCACAGCAGGAGGCAGACTGAAGGGGCCCTGAGACACACAGATAAATACACACACATAAAAAGATTCCCCATATTTTTCAATATTTTTGGAATTTTTGTCTTCCCCCCCACTTCCCATATTTTCCCATATTCTCTGGGAAATCGCAGATTAATTGTGTCTGTGTGTTTCTTTCCCTCCTGGCAGACGATGGGCGAGGGGTGAAGGCGAGGCCGGAGGGCCTCGGAGACCTCCCGGGGGTCCCCGGAAGCCTCACGCGGGGTCCCCTGTGGTGGGCTCCTATGCAGGCCTCCGCGGAGGCCCAGGAGCCCGATCCCAGCGAGGGTCTCCCGACGACCTCCCTCCCGGCGCGCCGCCGACGCCGCCTCGCGGTGCTGGCGCGCCGGAGGCGCCCGCCGGCCCCCTGCCGGCGCCCGCTCTGGCAGGCCCTTCGAGCTGCCTCCACCCGTGGCGACGAGGCCCCCCGCCTGGGGGAGCTGAGACCCTCCATTCTACCGCCGCTCCGCGGACCTCTCCCCGGGGTGCGCTCTGGACCCGGATCTCGAAGCGAGCCCGCCCGCGGCGACGAGGGAGCGGCCGCGGCATCGCTGCCTGTTCCTCGCCTGACGACTGGAGGCCTCCGTGCACGGGCTGCTCTTCGAGATGCTCCGGTGGCGATGCGAGCCGTCTCCGATGCCATCGCGCTCGGGCTTGCCTTGTGCGCTCCTCGAGCCGGAGGAGGAGGAGGAGGAGGGGGCAGAGGCGCGCAGAGAGCGGCGCGCAGGGCCGCAGCCTTCTCGCGGCGACAGCGCCGCCAGGGCGCCCGCCAGCGACACCAGCGACCGCGCCGGAAGGTCGCGGGCGCAGACGGCCAGGCGCGCGGCGCACGCCTCCACCTGGGGAGCGGGGAGCACCGGGAGCCGGGGCCGGCGAAGGGGTCCCCGCAGTGGTGGTGCTGTGATCAGGTCGGGCATGACCCCCTACAGGCGGATCCTGGAGGAAAAACAAAGATTCAGGAAGGAAACATACAGACAAATGCTCAACACATCGCCCCCCTGATTCTTTGTTTTGCCTATTTTTGAATAACCCGGTAGGGTCTTTAGAAAAGGGCCCCCCCCCCCTGGTTCTCTCTCCGGGGAATAAAACTCCGCGCCCCCCCGTCCTCCCCCCTCCCTCCCCCCGTCCTCCCCCCTCGCTCCCTCTCCCTCCCCCCACTGAGGACCTCCCGAAAGCTACGAGGACTGAGGACCTCTCGCAAGCTACGAGGACTGAGGACCGCAAGCTACGAGGACTGAGGACCGCAAGCTACGAGGACTGAGGACCGCAAGCTACGAAGACTGAGGACCGCAAGCTACGAGGACTGAGGACCGCAAGCTACGAGGACTGAGGACGCTCCTGCCTGAGGTACGAGGGCCGCCCAGGAATTAGTTTCGCACTATTAGCCGCTTGGGCTTTGTATATCTTCCCTTGCTGCTCACAGTCCTCGCGGGTCCCCTCCCTTGCCTTAGGATGGATAAATCGAGGATGAAATGTCTCACGGTCCTCGCGGGTTCCCTCCCTCCCGGTGGGGCCCGAGTTCCACACGAAAAATAATATGTTCCATTATTGCTGGGGTCCCAATCCGTCAATAAGCTCGCGGGACAACCATATATTTGCGCACTATTGGGGGGGGGGGTTCAAGAGACCCTGTGGGGTTATTCCTCCTGCAGAGGGACACGCCCGACTCAAAAGTACGGTGACAGGGCGCAAAGTGTAACACACCCTCGCCAGTCCTGGCCAAGCCCAGGATCGGTGCCCTCATGGCTTGACCAGGACAGCGTACTTTGATGTACCAGCCATAGGTCGGGTATGTCCGCCTACATGCCGATTTTGGACGACAACACAAAAAAAACAAAAGTTAACAAAAATCTGAGAAAAATCGTCCCCAGACTATTTTTGTTACTATATTTGCATACTCCTCCTGTAAAGGGACAAGCCCGACTTAATACCAACCCTGGGCCCAGGATTGGCGTGGCCTGGACCGGTGCTGGGTGTAAAGCATACGGCAGGTTTGTGTCGTGCCGACTTCGGCGTTCGCTTCTGACACCGCTCAACCTTGAACGATCGGACGTTTGCGGACCGTCTAATCTTACAAAATCGACCGATTCTGGGTCGCCGGCGGCGTTTAACAATGAACGCCAATGGCAAGGTCGCCGCCGGTCGACAGGATGCGAACATACCGTGCAGGTAACATCCCCTGGCGCTGGAGCGTTGCGCTGGACCCTGACATCCGACGTTTCGAAAGAACTGAGACGCCGTGAAAAATCACGCCCAGAGCCCTGTACGCCCTATCTGTCTGCGCCATGTTTCGAGCCAGATCGATCTGTGAGGGTCCTGTAGCCCGAAGCTGGGCGAAAGCTAAGGAAACGAAGAATGACATAATTAAACATAAAAACTCAAACATCCGCGGCTGGACCCTCCTGGCGGCGCCTCCCGCACCGCCCCTGGCGCGCTCCGCGCTCAGGGAGGGGGGGTCCAACGCCGATCCGAGAAATCCGCGCGGACCTCCGATTTTTTTGTGTATGCATACATATATATATATATATATATACATATATATATATATATGTCATTACTCGGTCCCCTATGTGAGTAGGGGGCCACAGGCGAGCCCTACCCCTACCCCCCACGATTTCTGAGGGGGAGGGTGGGGTTCGCTTCGTTCGGGAGCTCCCGAGCGAAGTGAGCCCCACCCTCCCCCTCAGAAATCGTGGGGGGTAGGGGTAGGAGGAGGAGGAGGAGGAGGAGGAGGAGGAGGAGGAGGAGGAGGAGGGTTCGCATGTGGCCCCCTATGTGAGGGCCCCGGAGCCCGAAGCTGGGCGACACCGCCCGGCTCGAGCCACTTGAGGCGCAAGGATCCCGGCGGCGGCGCCTCCGACCTCCTGGTCGGGGCGGCGCTCCGGGACCTCCTCGCCCGGGGTTGGCCCCCCCCCCTGACTCCAGATCCGCCCTACTTTGGCTTTCTTCCAACTGAAACAAAAAATGCGTCGGAAATCCACCGATCAGAAGCCGAAAAAGTAGGGCGGAATTTTCTGCACCCAACATAAAGTAGGGCGGAAATCCACAGAAGTAGGGCGGAAACAACATCAGAAAAGTAGGGCGGAAATTGGCATCAGCGGGGCTTGAAAAGTAAGGCGGAAATTCCAAGCCCTACTTACGAAGTTCCCCAAAGTAAGGCGGATCCGGAGTCAGGGCCTGGTGTTAGGCCGGGCATGTCCCCCTACAGGGGGGTGTTAAACGAAAAATCAAAAAAAATATCCCGGAACATCTGCAAGAATGCTCAAAAAAGATGCTCCAGAAATGGTCCCCCAGACTAGTGTATGACTGTTGTGAATCTTCCTCCTGGAGAGGGCCAGCCCCGACTTCACGCTACCCCCCAGACCTTTCCCGTGATGGGTTCGGACCAGAATTTCGAGGCGGATCCAGCGGTGGCGACGAGGGCCCCCTAGGAGGCCCAACAAGGGGACAACGGACGAAGGGTAGAGGTATTCGGGGATCTTCTGACCCGGGTCAATCCAGACACGGCTCAGCAGGAAACCAAAAAACTGCAATGCAAGGGAAAAAAACTGCAGCGCTGGTCTTCGCAAACCCGGGTCAGCCCATATGCGCGGCCGCCTCGCGGCCACGAGCGGCTCGCCAACCCGGGACAGCCAGAGGGGGTCTTCGCTGGATCCTACAGGATTCGGGAGCGGCCAAGAGGGGGGTATCCAAGAAGGGGGGTGCAAATCATGACCGGCGGCATGTGCGCGGCCCAGCGGGGGGGCCAGGGACGTAATGAAATAAGAAGCGGCGCCATGAAATCTGGAGAAATATCATGGCCCACGCCATGATATCCTCCCCCTAGTCATCACCCCCCTCGTTTCTGCCCCCGAAGGATCCGGTGCCCTGGCTGACCCCCGTTTGCACTGACCCCCGTCTCGAGGCTCCCGAGGTACAGTCAAAAACCCTAACAAGGACGCGCGGTAAGGACGCAAGACCCTTGGAAGCCGAAGACGGGATTTTGGGGGCGGCGGACGACGAAAACCCCAAGGACGCCAGGGCACCCTGACAGGCGGGCAAGCGAGAGAGGCCAAGGACGAGCCGCAAGAGCAAGGACGAGCGAGGACGCGAGGATACCCTGCGCAGAGTCGCGCGTCCGTATTTGGGCTCCTGCCTGTAGGGGCACCGGCTTCGCGCCGGTGCCGCCAGGGCCTCCGAATGGCCTCCCGCGGGTGGCCCCCCAGGGAGGCCTCGCTCCTCGACCCTCCGCCCTCGACCCCACGGAGGCGGCCTCGCCGTGGCTCGCCTTGCCGAGGCCAAGGAGGGAGCGTGCAGTCAAAAACCCTGATAAGGACGCGCGGGAAGGAATCAAGACCCCTGGACGACGAAAACCTCAAGGACGCAAGAGCAAGGAAGAGCAAGGACGCAAGGGTACCCTGAGCAGAGTCGCGCGTCCTTATTCGGGTTTTTGACTGTACACCCTGCGAGATGCTTACGAAATCATGGGTTAAGAAATTCATAGTCTCAGAATTTGGGTAAAAGCCCAGAACTTCTATCAACAGCTTAGGATTTACACTGAAACGTTAATAATAATCGAGACTCTGGCCGAAAACTTACGTTTTCTGAATCATCGCCTAGGGCGTACCACCGTCGGCGCTGTGGCCAGCACGCGGCTGGAGGAGTTAACCCGCTCTACGGAGACGACGAAGGCAACGACGACGACCGCGTCGACGTCGTCGTGGTCGTCGCCGCAGCCGCCGCCGCCGCCACCGTCGTGGTGGACGTGGCCGTGGTCGTCGCCGCCGCCGCCGCCGTTGTCGTGGCCGTGGCCGTGGTCGACGTCGACGACGGCGGTGGCGATCCACCGCGGCCGCGCGCTCGGCGCCGTCGGGGCACCGCGGCAGGGCGCCCAGCAGCTGCGCAGCAGTCTGCGCGGTAGTCCGCGCGCTGGCCGCGGCCGCGGCGAGCGGCAGGAGCGACCGCAGCCTGGGCTCACCCGTTCCGTGCGTGCACGGGCAGCGAGCTGATCGGAGTGCTCTGTCGTAGCTCCTCCTCCTCCTCCTCCTCCTCCTCCTCCTCACCCTCCTCACCCTCCTCACCCTCCTCCTGCACTCCTGTCGCTTTCACCCTCGCACACCCTTCCACCCCATCAACACATTCACCACCCTGCCTTCTCTTACACTTCTTCGTCCTCCATCATCCGCCTTTCTGCTGCGCCCTCTTGTTTCGACCTCCTGCTCCTCCCATTCCTCCCCATCATCATCTGCATCAGTATCTCAACATCAACACCATCGGCATCTTCCTCAACAACAGCAGCATCGTCATCATCATCACCATCATCATCATCATCATCATCATCATCATCATCAGCATTAGCATCAACATCAACATCAATAGCATCACCATCAACATCATCAACAACATCATCAACAACAGCACCGTCATCATCATCAGCATCAGCAACAGCATCATCATCATCGTTGCCATCGTCGTCGCCATCGCCATCGCCATAGTAATCATCAACACCTCTACCATCAACACCATAATCAGCATCACCACCATCAGCATCATCGTCATCGCCGCCGTCATCATCATTATTATCAGCATCATCAGCATCAACATCATTAGCATTATAATCATCATCGTAACTGTCATCGTCGACATCATCGTAATCATCAACATCATCAACAACAGTACCGTTATCATCATCAACATCATCAACATCATCATCATCAACATCGTCGTCGCCCTCATCATCTTCATCATCATCGTCGTCATCGTCATCATCAACATCATCACCATCATCCTCAATCCTCCACCACCAGCCCTACTCCTCCACCGCCTTCGGGCTTCTCTTCCTCCCCCTCCTCCTCATCCGTCACAACTCCTCCCCGTCGGAAAAGATCGCTGCCGTCATCGGCGCACCGGTCGGAATCCGTCCCCGCAAGGCCTCGCTGGCGCGTCTGGCAGCGCTTCCGGCGGCTGCGCCGCGATCCCGCCGAGGAGCATTGCCACGTGCCTGGGCGCCACCTCGTCAATGCCCTGCGCGGGCGCGGTCGTCGTCGTACTTGTCGTTGTTGCCCTCGTCGTCTCCGACGCCGCCGCCATCGTCGTGTCCCATCGTCATCGTCACAGTCCGTCGTCGTGGACATGGTCGTCATTGGCGTCGTCACTCGCTGGCGTCGCCGTGGTCGTGGTCGTCGTGGCCGCCATCGCCATCCTCGTGGTGATCCATCATCGTGGTCGCCGTGGTCGCGGTCAGAGTCAACAAGGGCTCCCAACTTCGCGCGTCGCGCTGCGCGAAGCGCGAAGCGCGAATAACTTCGCGCCCTCGCGCCGCCCCCCCGAAGGGAGAAAAGGAGGACGAGGAGGAGGAACGAGGACCGCGAAGCGCGAAGCGCGAATAACTTCGCGCCCTCGTGGGAGCCCTTGGTCAACAGCGTCGTCGTCGTGGTCGCCGTAGACGTCGTGGTCTTCGTCGCGGTCGTGGTCCTCGCCGCTGCCGCCGTCGCCGTGGTCCGGGCCCTGCGCCCCCAAGCTCGGCCGTGGACCCCCCCCCCCCTGGGGCGCTCGCTTGCCTGGTCCCGCACAGTCGGACCCAGGCCAAAACTCAGGATCGGGGAGACGTAAGACCTGGGTACGGGGGACTCGGAAATCCCCGACGAGGTCGTCAAAAAATGACGAGGCCGAGCCTGCATTTTGACGAGGCCTCCCGCTGCAGACATCCCACAAAACTCCTCCTCGTCAAAATCCGAGTCGCGGTCGTCAAAAAACGATGGCGAACCCGAGTCCCGGCAAACCCGGGTCTTACGCTCCCCCGCACAGTCGGACCCAGACCAAAACTCAGGAGGGAAGGAAACACACAGACACAATGAATCGTCGATTCCCAGAACATCTGGGAAAATATGGAAGCGGGGGGGAAGACGAAAACCTCAAAAATATGGGAAAATAAAATGGGAACCGATTTATTTCTGTGTATTTATTTTATTGGTGTGTCCCTTGGCCCCTTCAAAAACAAATAGAACATCCCAGGGACCCCCCCCGGACCCCGGATGGACAAGAACATCCAACAAACACGAAGAACACCAGGGTAGCCTCTCCAAACCGACCACGAATGCCTCGGTCCGACTGCACCAGCCGTCCACAGAAATATCCCCCCTCCACCTCCTCCTGCCCCGACAACCAGCGACGGCGACTGGCAGTCAGCGGCGGCGAACGGCGACGGAGACGCGACGGCGTACTGCGAGCGGCACAATCGAACTGCCAGCTGCGACAGCGGCGAGCGGCGACCGACGACGGCAACCAGCGACGCCGACGGCCAGCGACGGCTGGCGGCTGGCGGCAGCGGCGACCAGCGACCAGCAGGGTCGCCTCCTCGCCCTCGCCGGGTGCCGCTGGCTGCCGCGCCCTGTGCGCCGCCTCCGCCGCCGCCTGAGCAGCGCCGAGCACCTCCGCCAGCACGTCCGGGGCCTCTGGGCGCAGGTAGCCCAGGGACCTCGTGCGCGGGGAGGGAACGAACCCGACCATGGAGAGACACGAGAATGCCGCATCCTGTGTGGTTCTGCCTCATCGGCCCCCGAGCCCTGTTTTCGGGCCCCGGGGCGATCAACAAAAAGGTCGGGGTGAAAAACTTGTCCTGGTGAAGGGATCGACCGAGGCCTACGGCCACCATGCTCGAAAATATGTGAAGCCGTCGGAGGCCTGGGAACGAGCGAACGAGACTGCCGTCACCAGAAAGAGCTAGCGTCCCCGCACGGGTGGGGAGCAAAAGCAGTATCAATTACTCGCCACCGTTTGGACACTCATCAGCGTGTTGCTGTTGAAGAAACACCATGCCTCAACAAAAGCGAAGAAGTAACAAGTCGACGGGCTCCCCACAGCGGCGCGTCACTCTGCGTTGTCGGTCACGACTTCGGACGCGTTTTCGGTTACATATTTTCCCGGGCGCACGCTTTTTTGGCGGATAGGGGCCGGGCGCCATGAAAATTACAAACGTTCAACGACCGTCGGTATGTGCTAGGGCTCCCAACTTCGCGCTTCGCGCTGCGCGAAGCGCGAAGTGCGAATAACTTCGCGCTCTCGCGCCGCCCTCCCAAGGGGGAGAAGAGGAGGACGAGGAGGAGGAGGAGGAACGAGGACCGCGAAGCGCGAAGCGCGAATAACTTCGCGCCCTCGAGGGAGCCCTTGTATAACCACCGCACAGGCAGAGCTGCCGCGCTATTCGGTCGCCGCAGGCGCCTTGGCACCGCCCCCGCGAGCCAAGGGTGCCCAGGGGGGCCGAAGTAGGAGCACGGAAAAGCGACACCACCACCGCCACCAGAGACCACCAGTGGGAGGAGCCAGGTGGTGTTCCCCCTCCATCCCCCCTCTCGCTCGAAACATCCCCAGCTCGGGGAGGCGTCGTGGACCTCCTCGCTGGAGGTGGTCACCCTGATGGTGGTGGTGTCGAATCTCCATCCCCCGAGGAAGGAGGCAGGCGGCAGCACGAAGCAGCGAAGCGTTCAAAGCACATCGGGGCTCGGTCCGCGCAACCGGTAGGCTTTCAGGGGCGCTCGACGTTGGAACAGGGAGCGCGAAGGCGCTCCATGTAGGTCTGTGTCTAGGATTCCCGAATGCGTACTTACTTTCGTCGATCGACGGGCACTCCGAACTTCATAGCAGATTGGCGGGTGGAGTCACACGTATCCTGGCCGAGCAAGGTTACACGCCCCAGGGCCAGCTAGGAAAAGCCAAGGAACTCTTCAGGAACGCCCCAGGGCCAGCTAGGAAAAGCCCAGTTACACACCCCAGATCAGACTCTCCAGACCAGACCCGCCCCCAGGATCACGGAATGCTGGAATGGCCGTGTGCTCAAGCACTGCACCCTCACTGCTGGCGCTGGCTGTGCAGTGTCGGCAGCGGCGGCGGGTGGGCCTGGCCACGGAGCAGAGCTGCCGCGCCGTGAGATCGCCTCGGGCACCGCCCCCGCGCGCGTCGCCGGTGCTCGCGCGGGCGGGCGCGCGCGCACCTGTTTGTGTCCGTGACCCGATCTTTCAAGGGAGGCAGGGCAAATCACGTCATGCGCCCTCCACCCGCCCTCCTCCTCCTCCACCGCCTGATCCGCCTCAGCTTCCTCCTGATCCTCTTCTCCCTCCTCCTCCTCCTCCTCCTCCTCCTCCTCCTCCTCCTCCTCCTCCTCCTCCTCCTCCTCCTCCTCCCCCTTCTTCTCGTCTGCGTCCCCCTCCTCCTGTAGTACGAGAGCAAGGAGGGGGCCAGGAGATGCGGGGAGGGGGAGGAGGCGTCGGTCCTTATTTTTCGCTTTAGCTCTGCTGCGGGTTCTAGACAGATGAGCGGGTGCCCTTCCAGAAAGAAGGAGCGTTGAAATTGACGAGGTCTGGAATGTTATTCGTCTACTAATTTGGTTGTGGAAGGGGAGGTCAGGACTCTGAGGGGGGCTTCAGACTCGTATAGATCGGAGGGGCGTGCGCCCAGGCGTCATCGAAGGGCAGGGCATCTGGACTGAAAGTCTAAACAGGCCTGCTGAAGGCAAGACTGCAGCGCGAGCGCAACGAGTTCCAGTTGAACCCTGAGGAACCTCTTCCTCAGCGCTCCCCCTCGGAGGGGCTGGACGTATACACCACGTCGTTTGGTTGGACATGGAGCGAAAGAATTAGGGTTACTCATCGCAGGGAGAGACTCGCTCGGTCTGGAAATGAAACAATTGAAAAGATGAAACTGTCATAATACTTCAATACAACAGAGGACCCATATAAGCAGACAGAAGACCTTCAATCCAACAAATTCACATTGAAACTTTGATGATTAGTTCGATGCGGAAGGGCCCGATTGACAATTCAGAAATTCAAGCATCTTTCGTTCGCTTAAGTCTTTCAATATATATATATATATATATATATATATATATCAATCCGCCATCGTGCTCTGAGAGACGGAGAGCGTGCTGGGGCGCTCTTGGACGCCTCATGGGCCGTCTTGGAGGCCCGAGGGGTCGGCTCCAGAGACCAGAATCTCATCAACATCTACGTGCTTCAAAACCTGTGCGACCATCCTTCGTGTGATAAGGACGCTGTGCGGGGGGCCAACTGATGACAACTGCGATGGGACACCATCTGGGCACCCTGGAGACAGATACATGCCACCATCCGGGCACCATCGGAACACCATCGCGGTCCAGCAATCCACTACTTGAGAATCGATCTCACTATCGGCCTCACTGTAAGTCTCGCCATCGAACTTACTATCGGTTCCGCTATAGATCTCCTTATCGGTCTCACTAACGGTCATACAATCGACCTGTCGGTCTCACGATCGACCGCATTATCTCACTATCGATCTCGGTATCTGTTGATCGGATCCTACGTTTGATTTCACCATCGGTCACTCTACCAATCTACCAATCTGACTATCAATCCGTCTCACTATACATCTCACAATCGATCCTACTATCTATCGATCGATCTCACTATCGATCGATCGGTCTGGCTATTTATCGATTTCGCTCTCCATATATCTCACGGGACAGCCATCGGGACACCATCGGGATAAAATCGAGCCACCATGGAGGCACAATGGGGACACAATCGGGACACCATCAGGCACAATCGGGACGCCATCGGGACACCATCTGGACACCATCGGGACACCGTCGGGACACCATCCAGACACCATCCAGACACCATCGGGACACCATAAAGACACCCTGTGGACACCATGTGGACACCATGTGGACAACATCGGAACAACATCGGGACACCATCGGGACACCCTCGGGAACACCATCGGGACACCATCGGGAGACCATCGGGACACGACCCGGACACTATGGAGACTCAGTCGGGACACTAACCCGATGCCGGTGAGAATAACCTTGGGATAGTGTAACGTTCGGGGTCCAGGGAACATCATAAACTGTTTCCAGGATTTATCGGTGATAATGAAGATTATTCATGGTGCCGTGCTTGCGATGAAAATCAAAGCTGAGACAGGAACTTTGGAGGGGGTTGTGTAAAGTTCGGACTCCCCGCCTGTTGTGGCAACTGAATCACATTTATTCCCTTGGATAAACAGATACCAGGGTTGAAAGGGGGATGCTTTATTATCCGCAGGATTGTGTTATCGGGATACCATCGGGACACCCCCGGGCCATCGCTGGCCAACGGGGGGGGCGAGCAGCATTTGACCTGGCTTCGCCCTACCAACGGCGGGTCCATTCCGCTCGCCCGCCCACGCAATTTCGCCTTGCCCGCGCGCACGACATGAACACGAAATCGAAACGGTTTCCCGGTGAGGGGTCTCCGTTTCACTTCTCACCCCCCAACCTCCGATATCAATCGTTCAATCCGGAACCTCTAGATTGAGAAAGTTCGAGTCTCAAACCTTTCACTGGTTCAATACAGATCTTCCGGAATGACAGATCTTTAAATATTTCACGCTGGGATCGCTAGATTGACTGTCGATGTTTCAATGCTTCAATATGTCGCACCGGATCTATGAACTTGTAATCTTTCAATACTGCAACCCGCGCCACCAGAAACCAAACCCTTACAATCTGTCAAATCTCTCAATCTTTCACTCCCTGTCTCAGCCCCTGGGTGAAAGCAAGCGAATTCGATTGGCCAAGCGACTTGGCTCATACTTCGAGCTCATCCTGCCCCCTCCTTCTACAAGTGGCGACCAAAGATGGAAGACGCCCGAGAGGACTGAAGACCCCTCCCAGGGCAGCGAGATGCCACGAACGAGCCAAAGGCACGCGGCACCCGGGCCAGGAACTGGAGAACACGAGGACACCATGAGCTTCGCAGGACCGGCTTCACCACTGGTCGCAACTGCATCTCTCCCCCCTCCTCATCTCGCTCCCGCTCCTCTCCTCCGCCCCCACCCACACATCTCCACCGGGGGTCCCTCAGGAGGTCCACCAGGTAGTCCCGGAAGAGGTCCCGCGGGAGGTCCCTCAGTAGGCCCTCCAGGAGGTCACCAGAAGAGCTGGGCATACACACCCTAAACGCTTGATCCTCAATCCTCGATGGTCCTCCTCCTCCACCTGACTCCTCCTCCCCCCCCCAGCCCCTCCCCCAGTGAGGAGGGATCGCCCAGCCGCGTGTGGATCTGCTCCAGCAGCGCGGAGGCCATGGCCTCTCGAGGGCGCGGGCGGCAGAGGACTGACAGGAGGCGCCGACGAGTCGTGATCGGGTTGGCCAAGGCGCCAAGCTCCTCCTCATCCATCCTCCTCCTCCTCCTCCTCCTCCTCCCCCTCCTCCTCCTCTTCCTCGAGTTCCTCCTCCTCCTCCTCGAGTTCCTCCTCCTCCTCCTCGAGTTCCTCCTCCTCCTCCTCCTCCTCCTCCTCCTCCTCGTTGCAGCGGCCGTCCTGGGCCCGGGGGCCCTGGGATGTCGCGCGCACCTCCCTGGCTTCGACCCGGGAGGGTCCGCACGTCACAGCAACTGGGATGGCTTAGTGACCTCCGGCTGCGCTGCCTTGCCGGAGGGCCCGGCTGCTCGTCAGGAGACCTGCTCACCCAGGGGAAGGGGCGGAATGCGCTTCCCCTGGGGCCCCAGGGCACTGCCCGACACCGAGGCACCCCTCTGGGGGCTTCTCCTCCTCCTCCTCCTCCTCCTCCTCCTCCTCCTCCTCCTCCTCCTCCTCCTCCTCCTCCTCCTCCTCGAGAGTTCCTCCTCCTCCTCCTCCTCCTCCTCCTCCTCCTCCTCCTCCTCTGCCTCTGCATCGCTCCTCCGCCCCCGTCGGGCGCATGCAAGCGCGGCCCCGCCGGCCGCGCCCCCCCATTTGGTGATCTGCGCCGCCCTCGCGCCCGCGCTCACTGCGGGGCGAGCGGCATGACGCCCCGGCCCGAGGGCGAGCGTCCTTGTGCTCCTGCGGGGCTGTGGGCATGCCTGGTGGAGAAGAGGCCCTCCCCTGCCCAAGCTCCGGCGCGCGCTCGGCGCCGAGCGAGGGTTCTGAAGTGACAAGGAGAAGGCCTTCTCAGAAGGCTCAGGAGTCATCTGGCCTTCTGAGAGTCCTCTGGCCTTCTGAGAAGTTTCCTGAGCCCCCCCCCGAAAACACCACAAACAGCTGCTCAGAAGGCGCGAGGGCTCCTGAGAAGTCCCGCCGCTTTCTGAGAAGGCCTTCTCTTTTTGACTTCCCCCCCTCGCGCGCCGCCGACGCACGCTCAAACAACACCTGGGTCAGTGCATCCCTGGCCCTGCAGGACCTTGCAAGATCTGGCGCTCTGGCTGACCCCCTTCTACAGTGACCCCCGTCTCTCAAGGGGCTCTGGGACACGCAAACAAATACACACAAATCCTATAATTCCTTATATTTTCCACATTTCCTGGAGTTTTGTCTTCCCCCCCTTGTTCATACTTTCCCGTCGCTTCCTGGGAGTCGACGATTCTTTGCGTCTGTGTTTTTTCCCCTCCTGAGTCTCAAGGCTCCAGGGAGACTCGGGGGCGGCCAAGAGGGGGGTGTCCAAGAGGGGGGGGGTGCAAATCATGGCCGGCGGCACGTGCGCGGCCCAGGGGGGGGGGCCAGGGACGCAATGAAATAAGAAGAGGCGCCATGACATCTGGGGAAATGTCATGGCCCCCGCCATGACCCCCCCCCCCCTAGAGTCGGCCACACGCAAGAGTGACCCTGGGTAGGAGTGACCTTGGGTGCGCGGCTTTTTGGGAGGCCGCGGGGGGGGACCAGACCTGGGCGCGCAGGCCGCTGCTCCTGCTCCGTCCTCGGCCACCTGGGGACCCATCTGTGCCCGCACCCAGAGGTCGCTCCGGCGAAGGGTCACTCTGGCGTCTAGCCGATAGCCCGTGCAGGTGGAGCCCACCAGAGATCGAAGGAGCGCCCCTCCTCCTCCTCCTCCTCCTCCTCCTCCTCCTCGATAGCTCGGGGATGGACAGAACTCCCTTTAGTAAAACTGGGTAGTCGAAGCCAATCTGGCGCCAATCTGGCAGGCCCCATCCGGCAAACGGGGGCCATCTGGCGAGGGAGCCAACGCGAATCCAGCCTGGCGAACAGCCCAAATCATCCAGTCTGGCCAGGCCAGGTTGGCCCGTGGGGCCCAATCCAATCTGACAGTCTGGCCTTCGCCTACCCAGGATAGGGACCCCCTCTTTGCCGCCCCCGAGAGACCCCCGCGGCGCCGGCGGCGGCGCCACCCGGGAGCGGCCCCAGGGGCGGGGCGCTGGCCGCGGCGAGCCCGCGGGCTCGCCGGGCTCAAGCGCTCGCTGGGCCGAGGTGCCCCCGGCGGGCGTGCCCCTCTCCAGGGGGGCCCTTCGGGGCGGGCCCCGCGCCCGCTCGGCGGCCTCCGCGGAGCCCGGACTTCCGGCTCCCTCTGAAGGGGCCCTGGGACACACAGGTAAATACACACGAATGCAAGGATTCCCCATCTGTTCCCACATTTTTGCTGGGGTTTTGTCGTCCCCCCCACTGCCCATAGTTTCCCTCATTTTCCTGGGAGTGGGCGATTCATTGTGTCTGTGTGTGTTTTTTCCCCTCCTGATTCTCGTGCACGGAACAAGTCGGGCCTGTCCCTCTACAAGAGGAGTATCCAAAAATATTTCAAAACAGTCTGGGGAAGATTGCAGGTCTACTCTTGGGGGCGTTTTTTGACGATGTCAAACTTATCGCCCAGGATGCGCCCGTAAGGGGAACAGGCCCGACCTGATGCACTAGAGGCCTCCTAGATGGGGTTGAAGTAGATGGGGTCGGAAGATCGCGCCGCATCGCCGATACATCGGCGATGCATCGGCGATGCATCCGCGATGCACTGGCGATGAATCGGCGACGTCGGCGTGGGGAAAATTGTGCCCCACATCGAGCCGCATCGTTGATGCATCGGCGATGCGGCGCGATCCTCCGACCCCATCTACTCCGACACCATCTATAGGGAGCCCACAAAGGACGTACGCGCCCAGCTATGTACATGTCATGAACACGGCCCCTTGACCCGCATGATACGAACACTCGCGCAGTGAGACCGGCCGCGTGATACGAGTATTCGCGCAATGCGAAATCTCGAAAGCAGCGTGGAGTCGTGTACGGCAGGTCCGCGTCGTGCCGACCCCAGCGTTGGTGTTTGACACCGCAGGGATCGTTCAACCTTGAACGATCGGCCGCTGCCGCAACGTCCGATCGTTCAACATCGATCGATTCTGGGTCGCCGGCGGCGTTCAACCTTGCAATCCCACGCTGGGGTCGCCGCTGGTCGACACGACGCAAACCTACCGTACGTGTACGTCCTGCTTTCGCTCCTGGATCTAGAGGCCCAGATGCCCGGGCACGGGAGCGCCCGCCGCAGGCAGGCAGACGGCGGCGGAGCGACGACGGGCGCCGCGGCGCGGGCCGCGGCGCGGGCCGCGGCGGCCCCCGCGGTGGCGCCGCCCCCCCGCCACGTGCAGCCGCGCACTCGGCGGGGCGGCGGGGCGCGGCGGCGGCAGCCCTCGCCCGCGGTCACCGCTGGCAGGGGACCCAAGAATATACACCACCACCACCTCCTCCCTACTCCAGATTTCGTAATAGAAGGGAGGGGGTCTCATTTCGGGGGGGGTCTCTTCCAGGCTATCTTGGAGGGCCTGGGGGGGTCTGGGGACGATGTTTTGGAGGGTTCTCCCACCGGGGGGGGGTCTGAAATGGCTTGTCTTGGAGGGTCCAGACCCCCTCCCTTTTATTACGAGATCTGGAGTACCCCCCTCCCTCTCGCTGGAAAGAGGAGAGGGGGGGAATCGACGCTGTGGTGGGACCGCTGGGACCGCTGGCCGGTGGGACTGTTGGGGCCGCTGGCCGGTGGGACCGTTGGGACCGCTGGGGCCGCTGGGGCCTGCCCCCGGACCCTGGGCGAGTTCGCCCTCGAGGGCGAACACGCCGCCGCCGTCGCCGCCAGTGGGCGCCGACGGCCAGCGGCGACGGCGACCCAGGCGTCCGACGATACGAGTTGTTCAGTGCGCGGCTCCACAGGTCCCGGGCGCCCGGCGCCGGACGACGACGACGACGACGACGACGACGACGGGCGCCGACGACGACGACGACGACGACGACGACGACGACGACGACGACGACGACGACGACGACGACGACGACCGACGACGATCACGACCATCGACGACGACGACGACGACGACGACGACGACGACGGCGACGGGCGCCGACGATGACGACGAGCGGCCCTCAGAAGAAATCAGATCGTCGAAGATTTGGGCGCATGTCCTAATGATCCGCCGACCCTGTCTGCTTGTGTGAGAGGCTTCTCTGTTCGAGTCGTCGTTTCCGTCAGTCGTCTCCGTCGTCCCCTTCCCCTGCACCCTCCTCCTCGGGCTTGCCAGCGAGAGAAAAATCGAGCAGTGTCGTCATCGAGTCGAAGGGAAGTCCCTTCCCTCTGATCCCTCCCCCTCCAGGGAAGGGGCGGGGCAGGGTTGGGGTTCCAGGTCAGATACACATCCCCCCCTGGGGGGCCTGGGGCCTCAGAAAATACCAAGACAGGCCAAGCTCAAGGGGCCACATGAATAAATACACGCCAATCCCAGGATTCCCAATGTTGTTCCATATTTTCTGCGTTCCCCCCCACTTTCTATAGTTTCACCTATTTTCCTTGGGGTCGACGATTAATTGTGTCTGTGTGTTTTCCCCCTCCTGACAAGAATGCCCCAAGAGGCCCCTGAGACGGTCCAAGAGGGCCCCCATTTGCCAAATGGTCGGTCCAAAACGCCTTCACGCCCTCCAGACTGCCCAGGAAGCCCCCAGGACGCCCCAAGAAGCCTCCAAGAGCACTCCCGAGTGGGCCCCAAGAGGCCAAATTCATGGATGTTCAGCTGGTTTTTGTAGAGATTCGGGCGTTCTCGCCTTTTCCACTTCCCGCCGATCCAAAACGGCGCAATAGACCCCGCATGTTGGCCCAAGACGGCCCAGGAGGCCTCCAAGAGGACCGCAAAACAGCCCGAGAGGCCCCAAAACGTCTCCAAGACGGCCCACGAGGCCCCCAAGACGGCTACTTCAAGAGCGTGCCCAGACGGGGGACCCGAACGGACACTTCGAGCCCTCAGCTCCGAGAGGCTCCCAGGAGGCCCCAAGAGGTTCCCAAGAGGCCCCGAGAGGCCCACAAGAGGTCCCCAGGAGGCCCGAAGAGGCCCCCAAGAGGCTTCCAAATGGCCTCCAAGAGGCTCCAAAATTCCTCCCCAGAAGCCCACGAGAGCCGTCTGAAGAGACCCCAAGAAGCATCCCTGAGGACTATGGCTATGGCTCACGTGAGCGTCGTCGTCGTCGCTGCCGCCGTTGTCGTCGTCGTCTCCCTTCAGGGTCGGCGGCGCCAGCCGCAAGGCCCTCTCAATATACACCAGCACCACCTCCAGTCCTCCTCCATCCTATCGCCGCCTCTTCCTCTCCGCTTTCCTGGGAGAGGGAGGGGATGAGGGATGTGGTCGTGTTTTTTACTTGCCATCGCTCGGACGCCCATTTCCGGAGCATTTGTCGGCTTCGTGCGTGACTCCTTGTTGTTCGCAAGATTATCCAAAATGCTCCTCGATGGTCCTTGCAGAGAAAAAATGCACACATCCGATCGATGCCGGTATGACGGGAAACGACACTCTTGGAGTGGCCGGCATAGGGGGGGAAACATCGACACGACATCGGCGATACATCGCCGATAGATCGGCGAGAAGGCCCCGATAGCCAATCCCAACGTTCCTGGGCGGTGTGGGGCTGTCGGGCCCCCATCGGCGATCAATGGGCGATTGGGTGTCGATGCATCCCCCCTTCTGCTTAGGTCGGGCACGTCCCCTATTGGCGAATTTTGAACGAAAAATAAAACATAGTCCAACAATATTATAGACACTCCCAAAAATGGTCGCAAATTCGTCCCCAGACTAATTTTTGACTACTTTTGACTGTTACTCCTGTAGAGGGACACGCCCGACGTAACCTTATGCCTATTCCCCCCTATCGTTGCCCCTGACACCCTGACTCGAAAGCAAGGCGAAGGCTGCTAAAACCGTGGCTGCTAAAACGGCCCTCCTCCCGGAATGAGGCGCGGCACGCAAAACAATCAACGGGCTTCTTCGGAAGGACGAAGACAACCTCCCGGAGGTCGATTCTAGCAGCCACGGGTTTAGCATTAAGTCGGGCGTGTCCCCCTACAGGGGGATTTTCGACGAAACAAAAAAAATACCCCAACATAGTCACAAAAATAGTCCCAAAATAGTTTGGGGACTATTTTCTGAATATGTTTGTTGCCTCTTTGGGGTATCTTGGGGGTATTTTTAATTTTTCGTCGAAAATCCCCGTAGGGGGACACGCCCGACATCAAGCTAGGGGGGGGAGTGAGGGGGGAGGGAGGAGGAGGAGTCCTTGGCCATCTCGGCTCAAGTCCGTCGCGCGAGGCTCAGCGACTTGGCACTCTGGCGCGCGGAGCTCACCGTCCTGACGGCACTCGCGCGCTCGGAGTGTGCGCGCTGCATGGATATCGTGATTGCGGCTGACTTAACTTAGCAGCCCTTGCCCGGCTTCCGACTGACCCATGCTGCGGACCGAGCTGCGGGCGGCAGAGCGGCAGGCAGAGCGGCGCGCGGGCGGCCTCCACGCCGGCCGCGCCCGGCGGCGCCCGGGCCAGCGCCCCCAGCAGCAGCGCGAGCTCCTCGCCGCCGAAGGCGGGCAGGCCCAGCTGCAGCACGCGGTCGCGCACCGGGCCGTGGAGCACCGCCTGACACGAGAGGCGAACACGTGCGTATCCTCCTCCTCCGCCCCTCTTCCTCCTCCTCCTCCTCCTCTTCCTCCTCCTCCTCCTCCTCCTCCTCCTCCTCCTCCTCCTCCTCCTCCTCCCTCCTCCCTCCCTCTTCCTGCGCTTTAACCTCCTCCTCCTCCGCTTCAACCTCCTCCTGCTCCTCTTCATCCTCCTCCTCCTCCTCCTCCTCAACCTCCCCGTCCTTCTTCTTCTCCTCAACCTCCTCCTCCATTTCGTTTCCTCACGAATGGCTCCTTCCTGTCGCACCCCGAGGCCAGTCGAAGGGGCGGGCCAGGCGTTTCACCGGCTATGATCCTGAAGCTGACAAGATGCAGCAGTTTCAAACATGGAGGACGGCTGGTTTTCAAAATGCGGCTCTCGCCTTAGCGCCGCACACATGCGCGTTTCATTTGGATGCGTAAGTTTCACGGATTCAAGGCAGGTCGTTTTCAAAATGTGGCTCTCGCCGTAGCGCCGCGAACACTCGCCATAATGCATTGAAAGAATTTCAGTGATGGAGGGCTGCTCCTTTTCAAATTGTGGTTCTCGCCTTAGCGCCGCGCACATGCGTCATGAAAATGTGCAAGGGTTTCAAGGATGGAGGCTAAGTCCTTTTCAAATGTGACTCTCGCCTGAAAACTGCTCACATTCGTTTTAAGAGTACACAGCAGTTTCACTGATTCTCAAAGTTACCGTCCCAGAAACTGTGTTGGCACAATTCAGTTGAATTGTGGTGTTGAAGTTCGAGAAATAATGTTCTGGCACGGTTCAGGATGGTCAAGACGCAACAGTAACGGTGACTCGCGGCGTTGAAATCCCGCCACTAATGGTGTTCTGGCACAGATCGAGATTTTTAAACGCTTGTTTTCCAACGGGGCACTTCCTTCAGTGAAAATGAATCCTTGTAGGAGCCTGCGAGGAGGGAGATTGGAGGCAGGGTTGATTGCAAAGTCGTTGGTAAAACTTGGGTTGACATTTGTCCTCTTCCTCCTCCTCCCCCGCTTACAGGCGGCGAGCATATCCGCATCAGCGACATCGCGGTCTCGATTCCAGGGCGCGATCCCGCGGAAACGCAGTCGCACCGGGGCATCAGCAAAAAAGCGCCGCGCATCCGCGGGGGATCGCGCTCAGAGGCCCGGCACGCGCGGCCACGGACACGTATACGTTTCTTCGCCCACGAAGCCCATCCGCTCGGACCATGCCCCGAGAAGCGGACCAGCATGGGCCCAAAATGTTTCGGTACCCCCCCCCCAAGAACACCCGGAACCGCCCGAAGAGTGCTCCAATCTATGGCCCCAAGACGCGCCCAGACTCCCCAAGATGGTTCAAACGAGCCTCCTCGGGAGACTTCGGTAGACCAAGAAAGCCTCGAGACCCGACGGTCCCCGAACGTCCCGACCCCCCCCCCCCGAGGCACCAAGAAGGCCCTCTAGAGAGTCCTCCACGAGTCTCCGAACAAGCTCCAGATGAAGGAAAGAAGCGGGGCAAAACGAAGCTGAGGACAACGACGACGTCAGAGGCCTGGGTCCCGGAAGAGGAAGGGAAAGAGGAGGACTACGACGACGACGACGAGCCCGTACACAAGGCTCCACGACGGACTTCCCCGACACCTCTCCGCGGGAAGGCGCGCGGGCGACGGCGAGCAGCAATCAGCGATCGTCGGCTGCGATCGGCAGCGACGACGACCGCCACCACCACGACCACGATGACGACTACAGCGGCAACGCCCCAGACTACGACGACGGCGACGACGACGACGACTTCTACGACCACCGCAACGACCCAGATCCAGACGACGGCGACGACCACGACTACCAAGAAGACGGAGCGGGGCAGCGACGACAGCGACGGCGACGATGCCAGCAGCGGCCTTCTCCGCCAGCGCGGGGGAGCCGCGCAGTAGGCCCCAGGCGGCTCGCGAGCAATCCAACGCGCCGAGTTCCTCGCGGGGGGGGGGGTTGCGGTTTGACGGGCTCCTCGTCGTCCTCCTCGTTCTCCTTTTCCTTCGCCTCCTCCTCCTCCTCCCAATACTACTTACTCCTCCTACCTCGTCGTCCTCCTCCTCCTCGAACTCCATACTCCTTCCTCCCTTCTCCACCCTCCTCCCTCCCTCCTCCTTCCTCCCACCTCCCTCCGATCGGGCCCCCTATCGGCGATGAGTGAGCGAATGGGGACCGCGCGTTCCCACTAAGACGATCCTATCCGCCCCAAGCGTTGCCCCTGATGTTCTGCACCCCTTCCACAAGAGACCCAAGAGCCATGGATGTGGATGTAAACTTATGTCGGGCGTGTCCCCCTACAGGGGGATTTTCGACGAAAAATGAAAAAACAAAACATAATCAAAAATAGTCCAAACATAGTCTGGGGACTATTTTTTCAATCTTTTTTGGCCTTTCGGGGGTATTTTTGGAGGTATGTTTTATCTTCCGTCGAGAATGCCCCTATAGGGGGGCACGCCCGACATAAGTGCAACCCTGACCCACAGCCACGAGCGATTGAGGCCTCCACAGTGCGGCGCAAAGCACTGCGGGGCGGCGGGGCAGCGTCCTTGTGCCGCTCGCACAGGCGCCGCGACAGCGCCTCGAAGAGCACCCGGGACCTCACGCCGGCCTGGCCCGAGAGGGGGAGCATGGAGGAGGAGGAGGAGGAGGAAGAGGAAGAGGACAAAAAAGAGGAAGAGGGGGATGATGATGCGGAGGAGGAGGAGGAGGAGGAGGAGAAGATGGCACGACCACATCGAGAAGAGTGCGCGCGAGGAGGAGGAGGAGGAGGAGGAGGAGGAGGAGAAGGAGGAGGACGAGGAGGAGGAGGAGGAGGAGGAGGAGGAGGAGGAGGAGGAGGAGGAGCAGGGGGGAGGGAGGGGGAAGGGGGATGACGGAGGCGGGGGGGAAGGCGGCGAAGATGGAGGAAGCGGGGTGGGATGAAGGGCGGGGAGGTGGAGAGGGAGGGCGCGGCGGCAGGAGCGGAGAGGAGCTGACTGCTTCCGTCGGCGGTGTGGCCTCGGCGTCGGGCCCCGCCCGGGGCTCAGGAAGGAGCCTGGGACGGAAATTGCCCCACAGGGCAGCTGGTCGGGGCTCCGCGCAAAGTTCTCGGATCTGCACTGGGCCCGCCTCCCTGGCGCGCAGAGCGCGCCAGGGTCGGCACTCGAGGCGCCGCTAAAAGTGCCCAGCGCCGATCCAGGAAATCCGCGCGGAACTCCGAGAGTTTCTGTTCACGCCCTTTTTTTCTTCATCGATGGGGGGAGTGTAAGCGCGGACCTCTGAGCATTTTCCCCGCCCTCCACGGTGCGGCGACGCGTGTTCTCCCTCGCCGTCCGCCGTCGCCGCCGCGGCGACAGCGCAGGGCGAGGGGAGGAGGACGAAGGAAACAGCAGACCGCAAGGCGACACGACATAAACAACAGGGAGGCGGAAAGTGGAACAGGGAGGAGGGAGGGGGAGGGGGGACGAGAAGGATGGATGACGGATGAAAGGGAAAGAGGACGAGGATGGAGGAGACGGCGGAAGGATGTCACGGCCACTGAATCGACAAAAAAGGTAAAGGACCAAAAGACAACAAACAATCGTCTGTCCACCCAGACCCGAGGCCCCGGATCCGGAAAGGAGTAGGGGAAGGAGGAAAGGAGAAGGACAGGAAGAAATAGGAGGGAGAGGAGGAGGAGGAGGAGGAGGAGGAGGAGGAGGAGTACGAGGAGGAGGAGGAGGAGGAGGAGTTGTTTTCTCCCGTCCGCAGTGCCAGAACATGCACGCGAAAGGGAAGTGAGACTACCGAGTGCAATCGCTTCGGGTGTGGCTTCAATCCAGCCTTGAGCCATCACGGCAACTTTTTTCCCTCAGGTAGGCCCTTGAAGCAGAACGTCAACGTAACGTGAACGAAAACAAACAGATCATGCGGCCATTCCGGCATGTCTTTCTGAGTTGGCCTGCTCCCGAGCGGACACCCGAGCACGCAAGGCCACCAGCCTGTCATTGGTGATGAGTGGGCGGAGCGGCACAAGAGAGACACTGGAAGCGGCCGAAGCGGCTAAAGATACAACGGCTGAAGCATCGCTACGTCGAGCTGGCCCTACACTGCCACGCGACACGTAGTGGGAATCTAATCCCCGACGGATTCGCTGCAGAACGTACAGGCCGATGTGCCTGGCTGCGGGAGGACAGGGTTTGCGCAGGTTGTTTGCACCTCTTTTGAGTATGCCCCGCAGTGCAAGCAGAAGACAAGAGGCCTGTACTGATCGGCCATGGCCACCGAAAGGCGGTGCCCAAATCGGCTCTCTGCCACAGCTAACTTTTTGTAGCACTCTGGGAGGCCCTTGCATCCCAACATCGACGGCTCACCATCAAAGTTGACCGACAGGCACTGCGTGCATCAGAAACCCCTCCTCCACAACAACCCAATCGTGCCACCTGTCCAGAAAAAAAAACATGCCGTCTGGGCTTGGGTGTGCGGGGTGTCCGCTTCATCTCCACTTTGGGGAAGAGCGGCAATGTAGTTGCGATGGCCCTCGCAATCGCTCTGCACTTAACCAGAACCAAATCGACCTTCGAAACTCCATCCGCGGAGGGCTGAGGACGCTTGAGCAACGCATGCTTGGCCAGGCGGTCCGCGGCATCACTACTAAGACCACTTGTTTTATCATGCATCGGCAAAGCTTCAATAGCTTCGAGGCTTCGGTGGGCCAGGGTGTGCTGAGCAGGCAATGCGAATTGATTGCCACCCTGTTGCATGGCGGCGCGGCGAGCGCCAGCATAGATATGTCTGTGTGAAAGCTGGCTGACTAGGTCCGAACCAAGTAGGCTGACGGCGCCAAGGCAATCAGAGCGGGGCTGCCAGGGACAACGAGCAAAGCAACTCAGCATGGCCAGTCCTACCTGTTCACCTGCTTGAGGGGTCTGTGGAACACCATCCCAGACAACGCCTTGAAATCTGGCTCGGGTTGCGACGCCTTCCCCTAAACACACGCCCGCGTAAGACGCCCGAGAAAGGTCCCGAATTTGATGTCTAGAGCAAGAACCGTCTACAACCACATCGCATTCCTGCAGGTCCCCCAGGGCCTCCGGCGAAAGAGGGGCGCCGTCCAAATCCTGAAAATCAACTGATATTTCCGAAGACGGAACCGGCCATGACGATCCAGGGTGATCAAAAATCAATCTGGTCCAAAATCACACATCTTCAGGGCTGGAAGCACAAGTTTCATCAACAAGCCCAGTCAGAGCCGCATTCTCCCGAGCTTGCGAAACATCACGGTCGCTGCATTTCCAAAATCTGTGGAAAGGTGAATCGGGCTGCCCGCAAGGTGGACACAGGCCGTCGCTGTGGTACCTGGAAACCGCGAGTATGTCTTGTGGCCAAAGCCCACTGCAAAAACAGTTCGCGATACGATATTTTGCTCTTGGGGGAAACTCAGAGAAACCATAGTCCGTATCGGGTCAACGCAAACCCTGTCCCTAAGAAGCCGGCAAGCTGCGGGGCCATGCGCCGTCCGTGATGCCTCTGTGCACCTTGGCGCAGAAGCGAAGCAACCGTGGCGGGAGAGGAATATAACAAATCGGCCTCTCTGTGCAGGTCGTGCCCCCAACGCGAAAAATTCTTGTCTCGCCATCCTATGCGGCGCAACGAAATCAGCACGCAGCGCACCGTGCCGCCGCTGCTCCGCCAAGAGAAATTGCCGTCGACCTGAAGGGCCAGCTGCTGGAAGATGCGCACAAGTTCGCCGCAGAGAAGGAAGCCGTCGAGGGTTGGGTGGTAGCCCTTCAAACTACGTTTGTCCACTGAATGGCCGAGGCAACGCTGGCCTTCCAAACAGGGCCCACATGGAGGACAACCTTGGCGGTGTGGGACGGCCCCCAGTCGGAGAGAACTTCACGACACACAGGGCCCTCCTAGCTCACTGCTCCCGAAAGTCAGGCCTGGCCTAACCCCGCGCGTAAAAATATGGCATACTCGCAATTTCTTATTGGGGAGCTGCCTACGGTAGCGCTGGATAATCAAATGACGTTCGCGCTACTGCTGAGCCCTCCACCAGAATTTACGGGCGCCCCCTTTTCACGCGCCGTTTTTGTCCTGGTGCTAGATCAACTCCAAGCCTGAGCGCAGCACTGGAGACCGTGCCCGCCAAGCCCAGAATAGACAAAATCGACGACAGACCGAGACGCAGCGATGCAACTGGACACTGTAACTTGCACCTCCAGGTCAAGCCAAAATGTGGGAACCGTTTTGCGGCCACCTGAGGTTTGACAGCGCGGCCGAAACTCGAACGGCGCAGGAGGCACGCAGGAACCCGCGACACCCCTCCTGAAGGTTGTTCTACAACCCAGAGGGGGGAAATCCGCGCACTGATGCACAAGCTGCAACCAAATTCTGGGCTCCTGTCTCTGGACTCATGGTCAGACCAATCGCTAAACAGGACCGCGGCGACACATCCGAAAATGCATCGGAGGATCGCCCCAGAAGGCAATAACGCTTTCCGCCCACAGCTTCAGGATTGGTTCCCGGCTGAGGCCGCCTTCGGTCCAAAAAAACCTTGGATCATGTCTCTATTGTCTATCCACCAGACCGCGTCGATCGTGCCAGCCTCGAGCCGTCCCCGCACAGCGCTGAACAAAGATATACAATGAGGTTCAGTGGGCTGCTTGAACTCTGCGGCACCAACCGACTAAAAAAGTCCTCGGTTGTCCGTGCAAGCTTGTAGCCTAATCGGGAACGATCCAGAGCCCAGGCTCCACTGGATCGGCGCTGCTCTCGTTGAGCATCATGTGCCAACTCAGGGCGCAGGATGTACCATCATCTTGGCTTACCAGCTTGGCACTGAACATAGAACGACACGCACGGGGTTGCCTCCAACCGCTAAATCCAATGCTGTATAAATCTGCCGCATTTCCGCACAAAGAACTCAACGTGCGCAACAAAAGTAACCGAAACCCGAACTGTCAGAAGGTCGGGCTCTGCGGCCCTGAATGCTGAATCCAGGAAGGTAGCTGCCAACCACGGGACAGGTAGATCCCTGTAAACCAATGTGCACGGGGTGCGCTGTAGCCACTTCGCTACGCCGTTCAGCTCCCGAGCATGTCTCCTGCTCGGTGCGCGCATTCCCCTTGCGATGGCCCGTCGGCAGACCCCGCAAAAATGTTCGACAGGCGCAGCTGCTTGAAGTACTGGCCCTGCGTCGCGCTCGCCGCGCCGCCCCCCGCCCGCGGGCGAAGCGCCGCGCCGCGCTCGAAGCGACGCAGTTGACGCATGAGAGACCCAAGCTCGACCTCCAGCGCGTTCATGGACGTCTCAGCCACCTCCTGCTTCCCCGCGCCCGCCACGTCTGCCGCGCGCGCTGCGCGGAAAAAGCAAGGTCGCGAAGAGGATTCTCCTCAGTGCTGAACTTCACATGCAGCTCGTCGACGTCACTCTCGCTGATGCTTCGGATATTCGGCTCGCTGCGAGTGGGTGGGCGCAGCCGCTTGCAAAACATCGGCGAGTCCGTGAACGGCGGCATGGGCTGCAACATCTGCAAGACCGCGGTGGGCCGCGCGTTCCAGAGACGAGGCGCGCCCTTCAACCCAAAGCCAGGCATGGCCATCTTCAGCGCGTCCACGGCCAGGTCGAAATCCACAAGCCCTGGAAACTTGCGGATCAACCTCGCCGCACCCTGCGGTAAGTCCAGCCGCCCTGCTCGGAATGCCCCCCCCCTGTAATCTTCGCGACCTGCTCGGAAGTAAACGCTTTTAGGAACGCGCTGCCGACGTCGCATGCCGAGAAGATCAAGCTGGGCACCGCGGCAGCAAGAACGTCGACGATGCGCTGCGCCTGACGGGATGCGGCGGCACTGGAACGAACGAACGAAGCAGCCATGCGCCAAGCGCGCGTGGGCAGGACAACTCTGCGAGCGAGCGGGCAACGCCAAACGCGTAGACAGACAGGAGACGCGCAAAACGCCCGACAGGACAGCGCCGACGCGCCAAATGCGCGCCGGGAGGACGAGGGAAGGGGAAAAGGAGGAGAACTATGACGATGATTGACAAATGAATGCATTTATATGACGTGAAAAAGCGGCCTGCCAGGGCTCACGGGCATGTATCCTTATATTTTGATGCAAACTCTGTCCAAGCTTTTTTGGTCCATGATGGCTTCAAGTAGGCGCTGTTCTGATTGGAAGCAATGCTTAACTTTGTCGCACAAACACTTTGTCCATTCATTTCTCGGTATGCCACGAGATCATTTCACATTGCTTGTTGCTGGGCGCGCGCTGCGAGGCGCAAAATTAAGTTGTCTCAGTACATATGCATCGCTGCTGCGACAAATCTTTCCAAACCGCGCCAATTGACTCTTGAGTAGCTGCTCTGTGTAAGGTGTTTGTTCTGCTCTTTCCAGCGTGGTTTGGTTTGGCACTCTTGAAATGTAAGGTGGTTTGATGCCCAATATGACACGCAAGCACCGGGCTTGGAACCCATCGAGCCTGCGTCTATCAGCTTTGTTGAGCCATGCGCTACTTCAAAAATGCATTACTTTGGTTGTAGTCAGTGCCCCAAACACTTCCAACTTTCGTTTCAAACTGATGGACGTATACTTCCGCGCCTGCGCATACCTTTGAAATTCCCCCATGCAACGCCCAACCTTCTCCCCAAGTCCTCCTTTTATGTTCCCGGCGTCGTGCAGCGTGGCCCCTAAGTACTTCATGTGCGCGGTGGGAATTATGAGTTTTCCAGCGGGATCGGTAATGCGCAAATCACAATGTATTTGAAGCGATTGGAATTTGTCCCAGTGTAGCTCCATTCCCACATTTGCACCTGCACGTGCAACTGCATCCAAAAGCTGTTGCAAATGTCGCTCGTTGCTCCCGACTAATGCTGCATCGTCAGCGCACAGGAATACCGAAAGGCTTCCGGAAGACAGCGCTCGAGCAATGTCGTCTTCTAAGTGCGTCTCCGCGTCTTTGACGAGCACTCTCATAACCATCACAAACAAAAACGGCGACAATGGACACCCTTGTGATATACCGGAATGTTGCCCCCGTTCTTCTGACCTCCGGGGCCCGTCTGCCGCGCAGAACCGACGGGGGCCGCGCATATTCCCAATGAGTTGCAGCATGTGTGGGGGCGCGCCAAATGCGGCGAGCGCATCGAGAAGAGCCTGCACATTGATGGAGTCGAAAGCCTTTTTCCAGTCGAGCGCCAGAAGGGCCACGGCACCATCGCGGGCGGCATGTGCTAGCTCTATGTCTGCGGGCGGCATGAACCGCGCCGTGTGTACCTCTTCGCCGTCTAAACCCATACTGCGTTCCAGTCAATCTATCCTCGGCCCCTGCTTGTTGTAATCTCTTTAGCAATAAGCTCGCAAACAATTTGCACAGAACGCACAGCAAACTGATAGGGCGATAGCTGTCGCATTGATCCACTGGGCCCTTGTTTTTGTAGATTGTGGCAATGACAGCGCGCCGCCAGTCTTCTGGAATGTCCCTCTCGCGCCAACATTGGTTGATCAATTTCGTGATGGTGTCGAGCCCATTGGGGTCCTGTGCCAATGCTCTCCGATACTCTGCTGGGATGTCGTCTGGCCCCGCCGCCTTTCCTTGTTTGTGTTTGGATATCGCTGCACCCACCTCACGCGCTGTAAAACCTTCCACTGCGACCGGCCAGACCGGCCCCAAGGGCTGACGTGTAACAGCTGTCGCCGGGCGCACCTTCCATTGCATTTGTTCGAAATGCTCTGCCATTGCGTCTGCTCTGGCCGCGCCGCCAACGAGGTCGCCGTGCAAATGTCTTAGCCGTCCTTGTTTGCGCGGCTTTGGCCGGCACGCACGTTTGAGCGAAGCCCGATCTCCAGCAGCAATCTGTTGATCCACCCGAGCAGTTTTGTCAAGTTTGGCAGACTGCCGTACTTGTTTTAACAGCTTCTTCTCCTCCATTGGATTGTTATTGGCTCGAGCCGTGCTCCGCTGTGCTATCAGGTCCAAAGTACGCTGTGTGATCCATGGTTTTTGTCTCTTGCATTCCCGGAAAGGCAGGGCCGTTTGAGCCTCGGCAATCGCATTTCATGTTCTCCCACGTCTGTTGCGCATTGCCTGCTGCGGCACTGTGGGCGTTGACAGTGCTCGTGAAGGATTCCCGGGCCCTCGTATCGTGCATCGCCGCCCTGTCGAATGCGTTGGTTTGTTGACGATCGGCGGTCGATGCCTCGAGACCCAGAGAACACGTCACCAAGTAATGGTCAGTCGCCAATGCCGCCTCCCGGAGACTCGCGACGTCTACAGAGCAAAGTGCCGTAGATTGACATAATACCAAATCCAAAATATTTTGTAATGCCTCAGAAATTGGATCAAAGGGCAACGCGCCAGATTCTCGAAAAGTAACTTTTTCCTCCAGGTGCTGTTCTACAAACGCGTTGGCTATCACCAGACTGGCGCCCGTGCAGGATTCGAGCAACAAGTCCCTGTTTGGAACTTCCGCTTGATGTACCGCCTCTCGACCCCATCCATGTTCGCCAACAACATGTTCTTCTCCAGCGCGTGCTTGGCCGACTCGCGCATTGAAGTCGCCCATGAGAAACTGTCCGAAGTTTGCCCGGCATGTCCTGTACTCTTTGTCCAAACTGTCGTAGAACGCTGTCCTATCTGGCAGAGGTTTGGGATTGTGTGGAGCATAGATACAGAATATCCCAATCGTATTACCGCCAATCCAAAGCTTTAGACTGCAAGGTCTTTCGGATACTTGTTTGTACGACCGAATCTGTCTACGAACGTGCGGTGCTACTACAATGCCAACACCAGCCCATGTTTTGTCGTCTGTATTGTTCCCCGGCAAAATGATTGCGTACCCATCCTGATCGTAGACTTCTGATTTCGATGTTCGTGTTTCTTGTATGCATAATACGCCTATGTTGTAATGTTCTATGTGTTTGATAATTTCGAGTGTCTTGATCTCTGTCAGTCCGCGGACGTTCCAAGTACCGACTGCGAGAACAGAGGTCTGCGTGGTAAGAGTGTTTGCTGGAGAATTGTCGCCTGGAGCGGAACGGTTGGTAGCTTTGCCCAAATCGCTCGGTCCAGGCTGTCGCAGTGCACGGCGATCTCCCAGCAAGGTGTTGTTCCGGGAAGGTGAAAGGAAGCCCGTGCGCCCTCGGCACCTTCAACTGTTTTTGTTTGCCTTTGCCCGCCCCCTTCGACGAGCTGGCCGCGCTCGTGTCCAAACGCTCCGAAATCTTCTTCTTCAGGTCGTCCCATTCTGGGGCTTGTTGCAGTTCTTGCTAAGTCTCCCAGTCAGTGCCCAGCCATTGCGTATCCACCAGCTTTCAGTATACCGGAGTCCCCGTCGACCTTCAAGACTTTCTTGTTGAATCCCCACTGCCCGAGGAGATACCGGGGCCCCAGCAGCAAAGAAGTGGGGGCCCTCTGCTCGATTGGGGCGCCCGTGTTGCACCAGACACGGCGGCTCCCTTCTTTAGGCGTCAGTTTTTCGCATGCTGCTTGAAGTATTGCAAGAGCTTGTTCTGACGATTCTGCGGATTTGAATTCGGAGAAAAGCATGCCTTTAAAAGTTCTGTTGGGGGGCCCCTTCTTGTAGACCTCAAGGGCAACTCACAGCTCGATTCCGAGAGTACCTCTGCGACCCAACGTTCGGCTTGAAGGAGGGTGTCATGCGGAAGGCCCCTAATGACAAGAGTCGTCGGAGTGAATTGCCCGGTTGTTGTGGACGCCCCCCCCGACCGCAACATGGCAAACTCGCTTTCCAATTCCTGTAGTCTCGTGCCGATCGTTGAGGTCATACTAGGTGCTGTTCCGGACGCCACTGATGAAGGTCTGGACGTGGAATCTTTCGTTTCCAGTGCCGCCGCGCGCCCCGTGAGGTCGTCGACAGCCGCCTGGAGGGGCGCGATCTGCTCATTCAGGCTTTCCTGAGAGACCCCATGCTGTTTGATGGCCGCGATGTCCTGCTTGATAGGTGCCAGTTGGCTGGCCAGTATCAATTGCAAGTTATCCGCCGTCAGAGGTTGACCTGCTGCTTCGGCAAGCCGGCGCTGGAACAGCGCTTGGTCTGAAGCCGTAGGGTCGCCCGCGCTGCCGGCAGCCGCACCTGGGCTATGGGCTAGCACCCCAGCCTCGGCAACCATAGGCTGTGGCTCCTGCGGCGGGCTGCTGCCTGTCCTGGCCTGCTTTAGCGCACTTTTTACCGGAGTCCCCACGCGGTGCTTTTCCGCCGGCATTTCCACAATGTTGATCCGAGCGCGTTGCCAGAATCACGAGCACCCAGACACAAACTATCAAAGTCTGCGTGGTGTTAGGAGGGAAATTTAGCGTAAGCAGATATGTCTTCTTGAGCCAAAATGGCCTGAGCCAAAACGGCTCTCTGTAAGTGGCCAAAAATGGCAGATCTGTCTCTTGAGCCATAACTGGAAGTGGCCAAATTTCCCTGTTCACGATGTTGAAATCACTTGATGAAGAGCCTGGCCTTAATGACAGACGCCCCGTCGGGTTTTCTCTTCCACCTAACAGCCCGACGTCTCGACATCAAATTGCGGTAATCGGCTCGTTGCCTCCTCCTGACCGCCTTCAGCCCGATTCATTTGCACAGCTCGCCCACGCGCGCTCCGTCGACGTCGCGCTGGCGTCGCTGCATCTCCGCGGCGGAAAGGTCATCGCCTCGCGACAATTGCAGCTGCCCCTCTCTGGCTGGCCTGAGACTCCGCCACGGTCCGAAGCCACGGTCCGAACCAACTTCCAGTCGAAGACGACGTCTCTATCCAGAAAGGCCCACCACCCAAAAAGGGAATTCCCGAGGCAACTCTAACTCCAGGTCGCCCCGGCGCGGAACCGCGCAGCGCGTGAACGCGCGGGCGTTGCTCGCAGCCGCGTGCGTTGCACCGACCGTCTAAATAATAGGTTGGCGGCCATTCACGGAAATTCCGCGAAACGCTTGGGCGTTCGAATTCGCCCCCGCTCGGTTCCACTTCCGTTCCATTATGTTTCCGCTTTCGTTCCGCGGCGTTGCGTTTGCCGCGATGGCGAAGTCGCCGCCCTCCTCATCTCTCCCACGTCGCCCCCCATCGCCCACCTCCCTCTGCTCGCGCGGAACCCCCCGCCCCTGCGGCCCCTCTGGCTGGCGCGGGGCGTCGCCGCCAGAGAATGCGAAGCACGCCGCACTTGCGCATGCAAAACCTCCGCGAAGGGAGCGCGCGCAAGCTGCTCGCGACCAGGCCCGCCACGGCGCCGCTCCGAAAATGGAACCCATGCCGACTGGCAACGGCTCGCGCCCGCTCGACGTCGGCGGCGCGACAGACATCGCGACTAACATCGCAGGCGCGACTGCGAAGTCGCAGGCGCAACGGACGTCGCAGCTGCGATTGGAGTCGCGCGCGCGCGCGACCGACGCCGTCGGCGCAACAGGCGTCAGCGGCGCGTCTAGTCATGGGCCGACCGACGTCGCGGGCGCGACTGACGTCGCGCGCGCGACAGCCTCCGCCGGCCCGACTGCCGCCACGGGTCCGGCTTGCGTCGCGGGCGCGACTGGCGTCGCTGGCGCGACTGGGGCCCGCCGACGACTCGTCGCGACCCAGATTTGCACGAAAGCCCATCGGAAAACCCCCCCCCCTATTTTTTCTGGTTGCCCGACGACGACGCTAGCGCGGCTGATGTCGCGGGCGCGGCCGGCGCCGATGGCCCAGCGTTGTTTGCGCGACGACCAGATTTTCTCCGCGCGAGCGACTGGCAGGGCAGGCCCGCCCGGCGTCGCAAGAGCAACTGACGTGGTTGGCGCGACTGACGTCGCAAGCGGCTGCCGGCGACTTGTCGCCATGAAGGGCTACCCAAATATGCCCCAATTAAACGAAACTCGAATCAAGGGCGCAATGCAAAGGCATTCGGATGAGAATGTCGCGGGCGCGACATACGTCGCAAGCGCGACTGACGTCACTGGGGCGTCTCACGCCTCCAGCGCGACTGGCGTCGTCGTCGCCACTGACGTCGACCCAGATGACGTCGCGGGCGTGCCCGACGTCGCCCGCGCGACTCGCGTCGTCGGCGCGACTCACGCCCCAGGCGCGACAGGCGCCGTCGGCGACCAATGGCGACATGTCGCCACGAACAGAGATCCACATGAAAAAGATCAAAAGAACTCTGGGTGGAATCGCTAGGCAGTGAGCGCGACGAAAACGGCGGCTGCGACTGACGCCGGAAACCTGGCTAACGTCGCGCCGCGACAGACATCGCGCGCGCATGTGACGTCGCGGGCGCGGATGTCGCCGCGGGCGGACTGACGTCGCAGACGCAATCGCGTCGCAGGCGCGGCTGACATCGCCGGCGCGACCGACGCCGTCGGGGGGGCCCGCGTCGCAAGCAAGATGTTCGCAGCTGGCGCGGGGCGCATCGCTCGCCCAACTGACGCAGTCGAAGCGAACGGCGTCGCAGGCCCGATAGATGTCGCGAGCGCCCCGCGCGCGCCGAACCTGCCGTGGGAGGGACTTAAGGGCGACGAGCCGCGCGAAAAGAAACCGTCCGAGAAGGAGGGCGCGACGCGCGCGGCGAGCGCGACGCGCGCCATCGGCCAGATCGACACCGCAAGCGCGACTGACGTCGCGGGCTCCCGAGGGGGAACAGGTGGAGCGCGAGTGGATGAGCAATATTGAAGAGGAGATGCGATGAGAATAACGCATTTGTGCGCAACGCAGAGACCCCCCCCCAGGATTCAGCTCACCAGCGGGCGCTGCCCTCCAGATGTGGCGCCCCTCTCGGAGGTCCCAGGGGCGGAAGGGGAGCGGGGGGGGGGGGGCGGCAGAAGAAGGAGAGGGAGGGGAAGGAGAAAGGAGGATGGAACCAGAGCAAGATGGAACACAATATACGCATATATATAAAAAGGAGGAGGAGGGGGAGGAGGAGGAGGAGGAGGAGATGGAGGAGGAGGAGGAGGGGGAAGAGGAGGAGGAGGAAGACGCGGCACTAGCCGGCGGACGCCGAGCACCAAGGTGGGCGCCGGGCTCGCTTGGGACCTGGGAGAGGGAGCAGTCGCGCGCGACCGCTCCACGCCCGTCAGTCGCCACGCCCCCGCCAGAGGATCGCGGGGCGAGGCGCGAGCAAAACTTGAGAGGAAGGGGGGGGGGAGAGGGGGCAGGCAGGCGAGGCCAGGTAAAGCGCACACCTCCTGCGATGCCCTCCTCTTCTGCACCAAAACTGCGGCTCGGGAGCCTGGCCCAGCGGGCCTCGGGGTCCGAGCCCGCGCAGGGCCGCAGGGCCGAGATTCTCCATGAATCCGCTCGCCCTTCATCCGCAGGATGGGCCCCCGCCAAAAACAAAACGCGATTCCTCTGCGCCCTCTCAGAGAGGCGATGGCCCGCAGTGCCAGAGGGGCCGTCTAGCATAGGCACCGCGCCGCGCCCGCAGCGTGGAAAACGCGAAAGGCGCGACGCGACGCGGGGCGGGGCCGCGCAGAACCGATGGCCCCAGGCAGCCTCCGCGGGCACGGGCCCGCGGGGGGGGGGCGGCAATGGCAGGCGCAGGCGCCAAGGGCAGGTCTGTAGTTTCCGCCTCTGATGCCCAGCCTGCGACGCTTGTCGGGCCTGGGCGCAGGGCCTTCGAGATCCGGCACCACGAAGGCTGAGATGACCCGATCGAGCAGCATCCGATCAGGAGAGCGCGCGAGCTGGGCGGGATCGACAGATGCACTCGGCCGAACACAACGACCACCGCCCCCAGAGTCCGACGCATCGACGCCCCCGAATGGCGAAGACGACGAGTCACCCGACGAGGGTCCGAGACGTCGGGGGGGGGGGGGGGGCAGCATGGAGGCCACTGGCGCCTCCCTCGGCCTGGGCAACCTCCACCCCAAGACCGCCCGCTCCGCCGCCACCTCCCAAGCCGCCCCAGGCAGGCGCATCCGTCGGCGACGCCCCCCTCTCGAGCCGAGGGGCCGGCGCCCACGGCAGACCTGGGTGGGGCGTCACTGGAGGTGCCGCAAGGGGCTCCAGGATTGGAGCCGCCCCCCGCCGACCCAGGAAGCCGCGCAGACGCGAGCGCAGTCGAGCCCTCCGACGCCGACGCCCGACGGCGAGCAGGGCAGGTGCGAAGGGAGACGTCAGCCTGGGAGGTGGTACTGGCTCCTACTTCACAAAACTTACACCGTTGATGGATCCTGCGAAGTATAGGGCACATGGCGCGCGGTGATTCGGAAGCAGGCTCGGGACGGCCCCCCCCGTCTGTGGGTGGGGCTGCGTGACGCTTAGCCCTAGGAGTGGTATTTGCCCACCCCGACTCCCGAGACAAGCAAAGGCCCACACCATCCACTGCAGGCGCACAAGGAGACATGGTTTTGAAAGTCTCTGTGCTGGCCGCGCGGAGGTCGCGCCCGCGGGTGGTCGCAAGGTCGGCCCGTCTGTTTCCGCGGGCGATCCCCCCAGGCTCCTCCTGGTGGCCCCTGCGAAGCTCAACGGAGACACTGGTTCCAAGGCCTGCTTTCCTCCAGATGGTCTCCCAAAGGTCGACGATATTCCCAGGGGGCGCAGCGCGCCACTGTCGGCGCGTGTCGAGCCCATAACAAGGGCCCGTAACATCGGCAACGATAGTAATAGGAGGGATACACACAATAAAAACTTGCAAGACGGCATGCACGCCAGCTTTCGGCGAGGCTTGCACAGGACCAGTTCTTGGCCCAAATGCAACGGCACTGACGCCCCGAGAAGACGGTCGAGCGAATCCCCATCCAGCTCAGGAGCTCTCGGACCACGTCGATATCTTCTTGCGTGCGCCATATGTAAACACGCGGCCCGCGATTCCCCGTGGGTCGCCACGCAGGGCGCGCCAAGCTGAGGGGCGGATGCGACGCGGCACGGGCGGAAAGCAAGACCGGCCGACAAGCCCACGATTCCATCATCAGGCGCCTCTCTCTTCGGTGGGGATCCTCTAAGATCCACTCCACGAAAGTGCTGCTCTCTCTCTTCTGCTCCAAACAAGTGGTGGCTGTCGCAAAAGTCGCAGCCACATTCGAAGGACATCGCGCTTCTGTGCAGTATCCCATCTGCTGTAGGCGCGCAGGGGCCCACATCCCCCCAGCAACGACGGCGCAAGTAGGCCCGCCTCTTTCTGGTTGGGTTTCAGGTTCCTCCTGTGCTGTCCCGTGGGGTCAAGTGGAATGTGGTTCCTCAGAACATGTTGATTGATCCTCGTCCCCAGGGGTCCCTCGTAATCAGGCGGGGGTCTCTCCTGAGCTAGAACGCGCAAAATGGGCTCCAACCAATACCCTTCGGGCTCCCTTGGCTTCATGGGCTCTGCTGAACCTACAGGCCCCGTGGCCCAACTTTCCCAAAGACGCCAAATAGCAGCATCCCGCGCCAAGAGCAACACCATGGAGGGGACATCCTTGGCGAGGTGGAGGGCGCCCCCCCGATGGGCTATGATATACTATCCGAATTTGGTGCCGCCGCGCTTTCTGCAAACACCCGACCGGAGCAGCACTATCACAATCAAGTAGGGCCCGCTGGTAAACGGGCGCTGTCCAGGCAAGGACCTGCGGGTCGGAATACATCGTGGACTGCAAGCGTGAGATGAGCCACGCCGACGTGGGCCCTCCAGGGGTATGCCCAGACTGCCTGGGCACCTTCCCCATTCTGGCAACAAGCTGCGGCGGGGCGCCGTGCACCCCAATGCCAGTGGTCATGGCGGGCATGGCGGCCCGCCTGACGAAACGCATGGCCAGGTGGCCAGCGCATCGCACAGCACGGGTGCTTGGCACACGCCTCGCCGTCGGTGGCACTCTCGACCTGAGATATGGGCCTCCCCAAACTGATCTCGAGTCCCAGGGCCTCAAGGCGCTGCAGTACACGTACCCAAGACGAGGTAACTTCCCGCAGACAACCCTCCCAAGACGTGGAATACTGACAGGAACTTTCATATTTTCCTTGACCGTCGGAAGCCCCAGACCATCCAGAACATTGACCAGCAAACGGGGAACCTTTAAGGAGTCCTTGTAGAGCCTGTTGGCGGGGCCTAAGATCGACAACTTGATATCATCAGCGTAAAGGTCGATCGTGCGTTCGATCGTGGCGGTATGCTTCTGAAAGGCACCGAAAAGGGGCGACCATGAGGCACGGGAGGGCGTACATAACGAAGGCGCACCCTGGGAACACTCCTCTACGTGTCCAAGTGGCCGCCGAGAAACATCCGTCCCACACCAAAATCCTGACATCCGAATACATCCTCATAGCCAAAACCATCACCTGTCCTGGGAAACCAAAAGCGGAGGCCGCTCCCTGAACCTTGCCTCAAGGTGCTTTGTCGAAACACTTGGCGATGTCCCCTCTGGCGTGCAGGGAGGCGTGCTCAGTACCGATGGCGCGCCTCCCTGTCTCACTCTGGACAAGGACACCGGCTGCGACATCCGAGGTGGATTTCTGCGCTCCGGGGAGACGCAGGTGAAGTAGGAGGGAAGAGGAGGCAGGGAGGGAGGGGCAGGGGGGGAGGAGGAGGGGGGGAAGGATGAAAGAGGGATGGAGGGTGGGATGGAGGGAAGGACGCCTGGGGAACTGGATGGAGGGGGGAGGGAGGGAACCCGCGCGGCGCCTTCCTTTCCCCCCGCGTCGCCCTGCCGCCGCCGACCTCGGCCGCCTCGGCGGCGGCGAGGACCCCGCGCCGGCCGCCCGAGCGCGGCGCGCGCCGCCCCGAGGGGGCGGGCGGGGGGAGGGGGCGCGTGGCCGCCCAGGCGGCCGCGGTGTCCGCCGTGCGGAGGCGCCCCACGGCGGCTTGGATCCCTTCCTCCCTGCATCTTCGCCGCCTCCTCCCTCCTCCGCCGCCCCCGTGACCCCCCCTCCCCCTCACTCCCTCGTGTTCCTTCCTCTGCCCCTCCCTCCTTCCTCCTCCTCCTCCTCTTCCTCGTCCTCGTCGTCGTCGTCGTCGTCCTCCTCCTCCTCGTCAGTCCCTCCTCTCTCCTCCTCCTCCTCCTTCTCTCCCCCTCCTCCTCGTCCCTCCTCCTCCTCCTCCTCTTCCTCCTCCGCTTCCTCCTCCGCTTCCTCCTCCACTTACTCGTCCTCCTTCTCGTCCTCCTCCTCCTCCTCCTCCTCCTCCTCCTCCTCCTCCTCCTCCCCCTCCTGTCCTGCACCGCGACTCGGCGGTTAGACAGTTAAGCCAAACACCGGCAGTTGCACAGTAATTAGCATGAGATAGGAGCACCTCCTCCTCCTCCTCGTCCTCGTCCTCCTCCTCCTTTTCCTCCTCCTCGTCCTCCTCCTCCTCGTCCTCCTCCTCGTCCTTATCGTCTTCCTCGTCCTCATCGTCCTCCTCGTCCTCATCGTCCTCCTCGTCCTCCTCGTCCTCCTCCTCGTCTTCCTCGTCCTCCTCGTCCTCCTTCTCCTCCTCCTCCTCCTCCTCCTCCTCTTCCCCCTCCTCCTCTCATCATCATCCTCATCATCCTCATCAGCATCATTATCATTAGCATCAGCATCAGCATCAGCATCATCATCATCATCATCATCATCACCATCATCATGATCATCATCATCATCAGCATCATCATCATCATCATCATCACCAGGATCACCATCATCATCATCATCAGCATCAGCATCAGCATCATCATCCTCATCCTTATCATCCTCATCCTCATCCTCATCCTCATCCTCATCCTCACCATCATCATCATGATCATCATCATCATCATCATCATCACCATCATCATCATCATCATCAGCATCAGCATCATCATCATCATCCTCATCAGCATCCTCATCATCCTCATTCCATCCTCATCCTCATCCCATCATCTCATCATCATCATCATCATCATCATCATCATCATCATCATCATCATCATCAGCATCAGCATCATCATCATCATCATCATCATCATCATCATCCTATTCGTCCCTCCCCTCCTTCTCCTCCTCCTCCTCCTCGTCCTTCTCCTCCTCCTCCTCCACCTCCTGTCCTGCACCGCAACTAGGCGGTTAGACAGTTAAACAAAATACCCGCAGTTGCACAGTAATGAGCATGGGAGGATAGGAGCACCTCCTCCTCCTCCTCCTCTTCCTCCTACTCCTATCCTTATTCCTTATTAGAATCTACTCCTACTCCCCCCTCAGGCCGGCAGATAGCGGGCGCATCCGGGTGGTCCCATCCTAACCTGTAAAAAACAATACAAAATCATCATTTTTCTTATTTTTTCCTCTCGACATGGACGTCCTGTCGTCCACGGCGATAATCCATTGCAAAAAATACCACAAAGAGCACACGCGCGCGTTCATGTCAGAATCCTACCGAACACCGTGTGTTTGCAAGCATTTCAACATAAAAACATCAAAAACCCAATGCTTTTTCACAAAAATTGTACAAATTTCCCGCCCGGGCTCTCTTGCTGAAATCATAGGAAAACCATAGGAATCTTAAGAATTCGGTCAAATCCAGCGATTTCACGTCATCGCGCGGTGCACTCGCGATGCTCTGTCATGCACCCAGGCCGCGAATCCTGTGCAAAAAATACTACAAAGAGCACACTCGCGCGTTCATGTCAGAATCCTACCGAATACCGTGTTTTTGCAAGCATTTCAACATAAAAACATCAAAAACCCAATGCTTTTTCACAAAAATGCTTTGGGGTGTCCTGTCAGACCGTCGGGCTTCCTCCGGCCACCTCTGGCTTCCTGCGGTGTACCGGGCCATTCTCGACTCGTCTGGCAATGCGTGCGCGGCATTCAACACGCGCTCGCCAGTTCCCGTCGGCAACCGCCATCGCGGCCGCATCAGCTGTACCAAACCGGCTGGCCGGTGTGACTTCGGCCCCCAGTTGTGCCAGCTTTGCTTCTTATGTTGTGGGAGGGCGGGTGGGACTGGGCATGCCATGCTTGACTCGCTCGAGCTGGCTAGCTTGACTCCTACTCCTACTCCTACTCCTCCTCCTCCCCCTCCTCCCTTGCCCTCGTGTGCGCGCCGCCAGCGAGATGTCGGGATGGATGGGTAATCCACAGAAGGCACCTACACACCAACACCATGCCTGGCCAGCACTATCCTCGGCCTCGGTATCGCACTCACGCCCTTCTGGCCGAGGTCAGGAGGGTCTATACACCATCCCAGGGCCAAGGATGGCCCTGGCACGGCATGCTGGCCTCATTTTCCTCCGGCGTCGCATGTCTTAGTGCCGTGAGCCTCCGAGATCTCAGCCCCTTCTTCGGGGACGGCGGCCCCAGGTCCAGGAGACGGCCTCCAGAGGCCGACAACGCCAAACGACCGGTCGCCGCGACTATGTCTGCGACGAGGGAGCGCGTTTCTTTACTTTCGGCGACAATGGTCATTATGGGGGGGAGGGGCCAGGAGGGCTATAATGTAACGCCTCCCCCCCGCCGTGCGCACGGCGTCAGTGCCCGGAGCGCACTGGGGACGGAGGGAGGGGCGCTACGTTGCTATACAGGGGGGGGAGGGGGGGCTGGGGGCTATGATGCCAATTATGCCCCAAGCAATAAAGAAACACGCTCCTAATGAGCTGTGGCGTGGTGAGCGCCCTCTGCGGAGGGAGAGCCCTTGGGCGGCTGGTGGCCTCGCCCCGGGCAGACGGGCCCGCAATCGGGCCCGCGACCGCGCCGTTCGCGCGAGCGCCGGCGGCGGCTCTCATGGGAGGGCCGCGGCACCATGCGAGGGGAAGGAGGGGGAGGATTCGAGATCGACGTCTCTTGCAGTGGAGGCCAGTCCAAAAGAAACCTTCCACAAGAAACCCATTCCTGAGACCCCAGGACGTCTATCCACAGCAGCAAAACCATCAAAAACCAAGAAGCCCAGGGCACCCTGCGCACCCACTGCATCCGCGGCCCTGCCCACGCCCCAGCCCCACGAGGGGCCAGAGTGGGAGCACCGAGTCCCTGCCCAGCTCACGAGGCACGTCTCGGGAGTGCCTGGTCCCCCCTGGCGTCCAGAAGGGGGGGGGCAGCAGCAGCAGGGGCAGCGGATCAAGCGTCGATCGCTGGGGGGGGAGAGGCGGAGAAGGGGATGTGCCACCTCAGGTGGTGCCTCGTGCCCAGGGCGGCTACCCTACTCTTCGCCCTCCTCGTCCCAGAGATGGGAAGGGCGAAGGGGAGGGAGTTAGGGGACGAGGACGGCAAGGAGAGAGGAGCTAGAGGGAGTGAGGATGAGGACGACTAGAGGGACAAGTAGGAGGACGAGGCCCCTTTTTCGATAAAGTGAACTTGCATTTCCCAGAGGACAGCAATGGAATACCTAAGAAACACTATAACACGGTTACGGAGCACTGAGCCCCTCCACAGCGAAAAGGGCTCCTTCCTCAGCGGCCCGACTGCGGGGGAGAAGGAGGAGGACTGCGAGACAAGGAGGATGGCAGGAAGAGGCGGCGGCTAGAGGAGTGCGAATTTGCTGGGAAGTGGAAGCAGGAGAAAACGTGGGCTCGTTGGGAAGGCGAACGGGAACGGGAGCAACAACATAACACGGCCGACGACCAGAAGCAGCGGGGGGAAAGAGCAGGACGAAGAGTGAGCTTGAAAGAGGAGGTTCAACAAGCGCGTTCCACTACTCACAGAGTCGCTGCTCGCAAACGGCCCGACTCCGCCGCGGGGGACTTGCGCTCCATTGCATGGGAGGAAGACCTGTTGTTGCTTCTTCGAACGCCTGCGAATAGGCAATGCTTGCGAGTAGTGCACTAGGACCGGGAGATGGTACAGGAGGACGTGGACAAGGGGGACAGGAGGGAGGCGGAGGCGGAGGAGGAGGAGGAGGAGGAGGAGGAGGAGGCGGCGGAGGGGGAGGAGGAGGACGAGGAGGAGGAGGAGGAGGAGGAGGAGGAGGAGGAGGAGGAGGAGGAGGGGGAGGAGGGGGGGGGAGGAGGAGGAGGAGGAGGAGGCAGCGGAGGGGGAGGAGGAGGAGGAGGAGGAGGGGGCAGCGGAGGGGGGAGGAGGAGGAGGAGGAGGAGGAGGAGGAGGAGGAGGAGGAGAGAGGAGGAGGAGGAGGAGAGGGAGGAGGAGGAGGGGAGGGGGGAGGGGAGGAGGGGGGAGGGAGGAGGAGGAGGAGGGAGGAGGCAGCGGAGGGGGAGGAGGGAGGGAGGAGGAGGGGGCAGCGCGGAGGAGAGGAGAGAGGAGGAGGAGGAGGAGGAGGAGGATGGAGGGAGGAGGAGGAGGTGGAGCACCCGCCGCAAGGGGCACGAAGCTGACCGCCCTGGCGCGCCTCGCGCCCTGGGCCCCCTCTCACGCGCGGCGGGTTGGCCCGGGAGGCGGGGCCCGCGCCTCCTCCCTCCTCCCTTCCTCCTCCTCCCTCCCCTCCCCTCCTCCTCCTCCTCCCTCCTCCTCCCTCCTACCCCTCCTCCTCCTCCTCCTTCTCCTCCTCCTCCCTCCTCCTCCTCCTCCCCCCTCCTCCTCCTCCTCCCTCCTCTCCTCCCTCCCCCCCTCCCCCTCCTCCCCCTCCCCCTCCGCCCGGGAGGGCGGGCCCGGGCCCGGGAGGGCGGGCCCGCGGACCGGGGGCGCCGGGCCGCTGCGGCCGCCGCGCCCGCGCGAGACCGACTACCAACCAGACCACCCCAACCCAACCCGAAGACCCGGATTTCGGGTTGGGGGGGGCAAGGGTTCCACGTGTGTTTTTTCCATGTTTCCCGGACCCCCCCCCCCACTGGAAATCGAGGGTCAATCTGAGCCTTCGGGTTGGGTTGGGGTGGCTTGGTGGGTGGTGAGAGACCGCTCGCCCATGGGGCTGGCTGGCGAAAGACTGGCAACTGACAGCCGATCCCTGAGCTGCGCAGATCAAAAACATGGGCACGGCGAAGCATCTGCCCACGCAGCCTGCGCTGGGGACTGGGCACCAGTTCAGCGGAAGGCGTCGGCGATGTCATTGTCAGAATCGGACTCGTCATCGCGCCTGAGTGCGTTCGGGTTGACTCTCGGGTTGTCCATCCGGAAGACGTCCCCGCTGTTGCCGAAGGCAGGTGCAAACGGATCGGCGCCGTCACCTATGCCTTGGCGTGACCCCTTGCTGTCCATATTCCGCACCCCTATCCTGCCTTACTGCTGCTGCAGTTCCTCCTCTTCCTCATCATCTTCCTCCTCATCATCATCATTGTTAGCGTCAGCTTCATCATCATCGTCACCATCACCACCACCATCATCATGATCGTCAAAATCATTAACATGTTCAAAAGATGATGAACATCGCCATCATCATCAGCAGCATCATCATCAGCATGCTGCGGCCTCGAGGAGGGCCCGCGCCTCCGACACCCTGGCTATCGGAATATGGGGGCCCTGGATGTCCAGCCCGATGGTCCAAGGCGAGCTGACCCTTGCCAGATAACTCAATGGATGGTCTTCCGCCCAAGCCGGGAATGATGACAACAGACATCCGTTGACCTGTCTTGAGTTTCTCAGTGCGCCAGAGGTCTGGGCCACCTCGAAGAAAAGCTTCACCTCCTCCTCCTCATCCTCCTCCCCCTCCTCCTCCTCCTCCTCCTCCTCCTCCCCCTCCTCCTCCTCCTCCTCCCTCCTCCTCCTCCTCCTCCTCCTCCTCCTCCCCCTCCTCCTCCCCCTCCGCTGCCTCCTCCTCCTCCTCCTCTGGACCTGTGCACGGGGAACGCTCCAGCCAGCATGTCTCGAGGCGCAGCCCGCCGTGGCGACGACAAGCCTCCTGGAGGCAAGCAGAGCACGACGCAAACCTCGACCCCCTAAACCCTAAACCCTAAACCCTAAACCCTAAACCCTAAACCCTAAACCCTAAACCCTAAACCCTAAACCCTAAACCCTAAACCTTAAACCCTACACCCTAAACCCTAAACCCTAAATCCTAAACCCTAAACCCTCGAACCCCGAGCCTGGATCCCGGAGGGGACGAAGCCCGTGCGAAGAGTTTGCGAAGACCCCGGCCGCGCCCGCTCCGAAGATCGCCGCGCCGGCCTGGCTGGCGAGGTCCTCGGAAGCCACCCCCTGCGGAGGGGCCGCGGTGGAACACGCCCCTTCCTGCGAAGAGGAGGATGGGGAGGGAGGTGGAGGAGGAGAAGGAGGAAGAGGAATGATAGGAGGGAAGACGAGGGAGAAAGGGGAGGACAAGGAGCAGGACAAGGAGCGCGACGGGAACGACAACGCACTGGGCGGCGGAGCCGAAACCAGCTGTACGCAACTGGCTTCGTGCCTCCCCCTTTCCCCATCCTCCCCTTTCGTCCGCCCAGAGAGGATGAGGAGGAGGTGGCGGAGGAGGAGAAGGAGGAGGAGGAGGGAAGGAGAAGGAGAACAAGGAGAAGGAGGCGGAGGAGGAGAGGAGGAGGAGGAGGAGGAGGAGGAGGAGGAGGAGGAGGAGGATCAGGATGAGCATGATGATGATACTGCTGCTGCTGAGGAGGAGGGAGGGCCCGCCCGAAAAAGGCCCCCCTGAGAACGAGCCAGAGCAGGATCCCACAGGGTACTCCAGATTTCGTATTAAAATGGAGGGGGTCTCATACCTCCCAGACGATAAGTTTTAGACCCCCCCCCGTGGGAGAACCCTCCAAAACAGCGTCCCCAGACCCCCCCAGGCCCTCCAAGATAGCCTGGAAGAGACCCCCCCCGAAATGAGACCCCCCTCCCTGTATTACGAGATCTGGAGTATCGCAAGCCACGCGGAGCCAGGAGGGTCCGAAGCCCGCTCTCCCCGGAGAGCCTCTCCCCGCCCAAGCCTGAGGTCTCCAGAGGAAGTAGTCCTCGCTGCCGCCGGCCAGGTGCCACGCGGTGACCTTTAAAGGGCCCCCAGGACACACAAATAAACACACAAATAAACAGATTCCCCATATTTTCCTATATTTTCTGGGTTTTTGTCTTCCCCCCCATTTCCCATACTTTCCTATATTTTCCTGGGAATCGACGATTAATTGTGTCTGTGTTTTTTCCCCTCCTGAGACCTTGCCGTCGCCGCCGCCGGTGAAGAGCGACGGGCCCCAGGGCGGGCTCTCGACCCACACCAGCTGCGCGGCGTCGCACTGGTGGGCCTTGAGCACCATGAGCGCCTGAGGACGAGCCGGGTGGACAAAGGGGGGGGGCAAAACAGGGCTAGGATCGGGATAAATCGCTCCAGAGCGTTCCGGAGCGCTCTCAGAGCGTTCCGGAACGCTCTGGAGCGGCCGCGGCGCCCAATACATCCTCCGAACCCGCCGATGCTCAGAGATTTCGAGTTATCCCGATCCGATTTTGTCCCGATCTTCGCGTCGTCTTAGGGGGGCGGGGGACGGCGGAGAGGGGGAGGGGGGCGAGTCCGCTGCACGCGGCCGGGCTTCTCGAAACTGCTGCCCTGCGGCGGGGCCGAAGCCAGCTGCACGAGGCAGGGGTCGTGGAGGGAGGGGAGGGAGGGGAGCTCCTGACCCTCCCTCCCTTTAGCCCAACCCGCGGGTGGGGGCGAGCCTCGACCCGGAATCGATGACATGTCGCCGATGGATCGGCGATGGGCCGCCGGTGGCGCATCCACGCGCTCCTGGGCGGAGGGGGCCGTCGGGCCCCTCTCGGCGACGAGTGGGCGCTCCGGGCCCGAGGCACCCCCTCCTCCTCCTCCTCCTCGTCCTCCTCCTCCTCCTCCTCCTCCTCCTCATCCTCCTCCCCCTGCGCCTGTCCTCTGCCGAGAAGTTGCCCCTTCGAGAGCAGGGGGCGCAAGAGACTGCGGACCTCCAGCCAGCTCGAGGAGGTCGCGCTGGCTGGAGGTCTCTCCTCTCCGTTCTCGGTCTCGGCACCCGGGGGCCGACCTCGTGGACGCGGCAGGCAGGCAGACTGCCTGGGATGAAGAGGAGATGGCCCGGGGCCAGGCACGAGCAGAGACCCGGAAGACGCAGCAGGTCCCAGAGGGGGAACGGGAGGGCGAGGACGACGACGAGGATGAGAGGGTCAGGGAGGGGGGCTTCGCCGCGGAAGAGGCCTCGTTGGCGGCTGGGGGGCCAAGGACAGGCCTCCGTGCTCTGAGATCCGAGGAGGCCGTTGGCACTACAGGCGCCACGATGGCGGTAAACCGTGGCCCCCCAAAGCGACGCCGGCCGACGGGCGGGGGGCCTCGCTCTCCCCAGACTTCCACACCGCCACCGAGCCGTCGGAGTAGCCGCCGAACAGGAGGTCCCGCTCGGGAGCGACTGCCACCGACAGTATGGACGCGTCCTCTGGCTGACCGAGCTGAATACGTATTCCGAAGACTGACGAGATTGGCCCTCTGAGCGCGAGCCCTTGTCGCATCTGTGGAAGGTCCCCGAGGTTTCTGCGGACCTGCGGAAGCTTCCGACAACAACCCTGGAGACTTCTGGGGGCCCATGGGGGACAAACGGGAAGCCAATACGCGGTTGTCGACATGGTACTGGTGCGCGGGCCCAGACAAACAGTGCCAGTACTTTCTGCGCCCCACCCTCTGGTCTCTGCTCTCTACTCTCTACCGTATACTCTGTACGCTCAGCCGCATCACTGAACCTCTTCACGAGCAGCGAACACATCCGTTTTCGCACCTTCGCGGTCTGCACTCCAATGCGCGATCCCGCTGATACGCAATCGCACGGATACGCAATCGCACGGATGCGTCCCGCGCGGGGCATCTGCGAACAAAAACACACATCCGCAGGACCGCGGCCCGGGAGCCTGGCCAGCGAGGCCGCAGATGCGGATGTGTTTCTCGCCCACGAGAGCCCCTGCAGGGATGTCCGATACCCATCGGTCGGACGAGGCGGGTGGAAACATGAAGGAGGATGGTGCTGAGCGTAGATTGCATGTACGATCGACCCTTGAACATGTGTAAAAACAGTTTGAAACAATCAACATGGGGGGACAGGTAAAATAGCATGTATTCCCAACGCTGTAGCGCACATGTAAAAAAACAAAAGGAATGCGGAGCAAACAGGACCGCCGGGGACGTCCCCGCGACCGCCCCGCGGAGTTGGCCGCATTGGACGCGGAAGCCAGACGCGTGATCTGGACTGGAAAACCACGCGCGCACAGCGCGCGCGGGAGGCGCGCGCGGTGGCGCTAAGCCCATCAGGCACCAAAGACTACCGAGCGCGAGAACTGGACGCCACCGCGCGCGCACGTACGTACAATGCTCCAGTAAGACGAACACGTCCTACTCGTCGACAGAAGTCGCATACTGTTCATTCGCATATACCAATGCATGCGCGTGCGTGCGCGTGTATAAGAATATATGTATGCAAGCATAAATGCGTGCATTCATGAATTGCATCGTTTGGTCTCCGTGGGGTATTTCCAAGGGGGACATCTATGCAATGATTCTTCGGCGGCGAGTAAATGGCCGCCGGGATCCAGGTGGGGGGGAGGGGGGCAATCATTTTTTGACGGACACTGCCAAGAAAGAGGGACATCCCCTCGATTCTTGGGATGGGGAGGCGCCTTAAAGTATATTAAGATCTGGGGCCGCAGGGGTGGGCATAACAAGTGGTCGCAGACTTTCGGCCAGCGGCTCCCACCGGGGCCGCGCGACAAGCCGCGGGCACCCGATGGGCGCGCAGTTGCTTTGCGGGGCCAACGTGACCAGGCGCCCCCCACTCGAACCCCTCGCCAGACAAAGCGGCGCTCGAGGCCGCAAGGGCTGTGCCCCCACCGCCGCGGCGGAAAAGGCGCCCCCCAACACGGGGGGCGGTCACCGCGAACTCCGCTTTAGAAAGACATGGAGTCCCTGCCGCGCCGTCGGGGGTCGAATTCGCCTGTCAAAACGGCCCGGAGGCGTGGTAAGAACTCGGGCAACTGGTTTACAACTGTCTAGTTCGCCCGCGTGGGCCGGCCCCTGGGGGCCCTCGAACGAAGAGTAACCGGACAGGTCCCGGCAAGGTGAGACCCAGATGGTTTTCCGCCTCGGCGCTGCCTTCCAAACTTCCCCGAGCGCCCCAGGAACGCTCCAAGAGAGCCCCGTGACGTGCTCCAGACTGTCCGAGGGGCCCTCGGTCGCCGCCAGACGGCCCAAGACGCCGCCAAGAAGCGCCAAGAGAGCCTCAAGAGGCTCTCCTGGAGAGCCTCAACGAGCAACAACTGTCCCATTCCAGTTAAAAAACCGTAGATTGTGTGCCTATACGACGTTTCGAAATCCAGCGCGTCCAACACTGCCCAAGAGACCTTCAAGATCGACCCAAGACGGCTCAACACACTCCCAACATGGGCCCCACACGGCCCAAGAGGGCCCCAAGACGGCCCACGAGGCCCCCTGGACAGCCCAAGACATCCAGCCCTACGAGGAGCCCCATCTGGGGAGTTCGAATTGAACTTTCCAGCTTGCCGACCCGCGCGATCGCCCGAAGACGCCCAACATGGCCTCCAGACGGCCGAAGACGCCGCCAAAAAGTCCCAAGAGAGCCTCAAGAGTCTCTCCTCGCGATCGCAAAAGCTATTGGGCCTCGGAACGGCTCTAATGGCGTTTCAGATCCGTCGTGGGCGTAGATTGCAGTCGGACTTGATTGGGCAGGACACGCGAGAGGACGCAAGATCCGTCCGAGTGCCACGTTGCCACAGGAATGTAGGAGGCATGGGTCGCGAGACACAGGACGCAAGGGCACCCCTGATTCGGCAGGGTCGACCTACTAATCCAGCCCGACGGTAAGCCGTATCGGGGCCTTTGGGGCCTTTGTGGCAACCTTTTGGGCCATCTTTGGGCTGACTCAGCCCGTCTTGGTCAAACGTATGGCGTGTTATCAGTTCCCACCCGTCACCCATCCACAGAAACCCTCCCCAGAGGGCTACGCCTTACCAAACGCTACCATTCGTTCCTCCATTTCCCCATCCATCCTACGAACAGGAAGAATCAGGTGGTGCGGTCGACCTGTTGCGTGTTCTTATCCGCGCGGGCAAGGGCAACCCTGGGCGGTCTGCGGACCTCTGTAGGCCCTAAGAGGAGGAGACAGCCCCCCCCCCCCCGCGAGACCTGAGAGCGCGCCAAGCGCGCGCATCAAAGCGTGTCAGGTATCATGCTGGCCCCACGGTGCCCCTGAGATTAGTCCACGATGGCTGATGAAGATCTAAGGTGCTCGCTAGGGCTTCAAAGCGGCCACAGATGGCAAAAGAACCTCTCACCGAAGGCCCAGGAAGGCCCGAGTCATAGAAATACATGTGATGATGTGCCGCCCCGCATCTGCGGGACCCAGCATGGCCTAAGATAGCCCAAGGCAGCCCCATGGACTGCAACGGCACCCCAACATGGCAGAATACGAGTTCTTTGGAGCCCCCGACCAGAAGGCGCAAATATTAGAAACACAAATTTCTCCAAATAGGCATGCATATACGAGTTCAAATTCGACTCCCAAAACTGTCTGCCCACCAACAAAACATGCATTTGCACGATACTGGGTACACCGATGTATCCCGCGGGCAAGGAGGTAACAAGCCACAATTTGACCCCAAGGTTAGTCCAAGGGCCCCAGTGTGACATCAAGATGGCCCCAGCTGGCCCAATACAGCAGCATTGACTACACATCTTGCTCAAGATGGCCCGACAACATCTTCTCGCAGGCACCCAAGAAGCCCGAATCATTGAACAAACACGTGGACATGTGATCATCATAGCATTCTCCCCCGTGCGGGCGACAGTTGGCTTCTCGAGCCCCAGGGTGCCCTGAAGAAGGCCCCAAGACGGCCCAAAAGAGCCCTAAGAGCCCCAGGACGGCCCACATATCCCATAAGCAGGCCCAAAGAGAGCTGCAGGACGACCCCCAGAAGGCCCAAGAGCGGGAGCTCATAGGCGGCAGGCCTCAGGATGACCAAAATGTAATCCTGAGTCTACCCCCGAGATGCCCAAAAGGTGGTGCAACATTGCCCAAGACCGCCCACAGCAGGCCCCAAACATGCACCAAAAACAGCCCCCAAGACAGCCCCCAGTTGCTATGCCAAGCAGAGCACTGCAGCGCGGTACATTGAGGCACGTTGCAGCGAGTTGCTGTGGGCTACCTTGCCTTCGATGACTTACTTCGCATGCCGGCGTGCGTTGGGACGCTTGTACTGCTGGCGGTACATGGCACTGCTTGCATGGATCTGACGTGCGTCATACTGCGGTGCTTTGTGCGTTGAGTTGACCTCCATTGCGCACATTGGTATACATGTGGTGTTTCGCGATGCTTCCCGCTGCTACGCGTTGACGTGGTTTACATTGCGTGTGATAGAAGAGGAGGGTCATCAAGAACAGAGGGCAGCATCAAGAAGCCGGGGAGGGGGTCAACATTCTCCTACTCCTCCCTCCTCCAGGCCCCTGCTTGTCCAACGCCTCCTCCTCCTCCTCCGCCTCCTCCTCCTCCTCCTCTTCCTGCTGCTCCAGTAATTCCTCGCTCAGCTCTTCTTCTTCCTCTTGCTCCTCCTCGTCCTCCACAGAAGCTCCTCCCTCCATCTCCGACCATCAACCCGCCTCTATGATCATGCCGTATCATACCACCCCGTGCTCTCGGCAAGCCGTCTCCTCGATACGCAGATGTCGGACGCGATGACTGGCAACCTTCGCGGTTTTCGCCTCCTGCCCATGGGCCTGCAGGCTCATCACCGATATACAGTCACCGTGAGCAACAAAAACCTGCTCCCTTGCGATGGCCATGGCTGCCACAGGCTTGTCCAGCTCAAGCGTATGCATGAAATTCGGCGGGTTCATTGCGATATTCAAGATGAACACGTCTCCTCCCGATGTGCCGATGAAGGCTCGGTCAGTCTCGTCGTCTAGGCAACTGCACGACAAATAATCCGATTCGCCCCGCAACCGCTTCATCAAGCGACCTCCACACACGGGCTGCCGCGTCCTGATGTCGATGACCTCGCAAACGCATCAAGAACACAGCACAGGACACGGACTGGGTGATCAGGAAGACATCAATACCGAAACTCACCAAACCTATCCCCCGGTGTGTTCTGACCAAGGCTTCGAAGCAAATCCAGCCGTGGCAACGAGGAACGCTTAGCAATGTTCGCAGATGTTCCTCTTTTGACGCACCACCACGCAGCCTGGGCTCGCGAGGAAGTTGCGCCGAGCTGTTCCGGGTGCCTCCAGAACACATGGGCACGCCTGCCCCGTTCTATGCCCTCTAGCTCCGGCGGTACACCCTCTTTGCTGTTTGAGACGGGCTCGCGGTGGAACGCTGTACACAGTAGGATTAGGTCGGGCCTTTCCCCCTACAGGCCGATGTTCGAGGAAAACAATTAAATAACAAAGTGTTCATAAATACTGAAGAGGACTAAACATAGTCCCCTGACTATTTCTGTTCAATGTTCTTCCTGTAGAGGGACAGGCCCGACTTAACAGTAGGAGGACATAAATGTGAAGGGAGGGGCACACGGGACAGCAGGAAGTCAGCGGGCTCGCCACGATCTCGCTTGCAAGAGTATCTCGCCCTCCTCAGTCTCCCGCTCCTGCTCCACATCTTTTTGTGATCCTCACCTCCAGCCCTCCTCCTGCTTCGTGGCCCCAATCTCATGATTTTTCAGGAACCAATCATCGATCCCGCCCTCCTGCACCCCACCCCCCTGTATGTCTCCAGAGAGAGAGAGAGGCGGGGTGGCCCGATCACCAAGAACAGATCCTACACGTAGGGCGCATGGTTTACAACATGCAGAAGCGCATGGCCTCGGGGAGGACGGCCTCTGGGGGTCTTCTAGTGTCCCCTGTCGCCCGAGAGGGCCAGAAAGGCCCAAGATGGTCTAAACACCTTGGCCATCGATCACCCATCGTCCCCGACCCTCGGCCCTCAACCATCGATCCACCCCGTTCTGTTCGAGCTCCCGATTCGTATGTGACATGCGCCGCTGTGAATTCACATACAGGTAGAACGGTGGAACAACAGGGAGGAACATAGAAAACACGCGGAGGACTAGGACAAGCACCTGGATCGGAAGCTCGATCGTGTTGAAATGTACCACAACGTATATAAGCTCGATCGCTAGGCATCCCTCCCCACTGCTCACCCAACTCCCCCTCCTCCAGCTCCTACTCCTCGTCTTCCTCGCCTCCTCCTCCTCCTCCTCCTCCTCCTCCTCCTCCTTCCCTGCAACCACGCCCAGGCGCAGTATAAGCGTGCGACCCGCACGGCCGTGTCGAGGCCCAGGGACAGAAGCCGCCTGGAGGAGGCGCTCAAGTGCGTGACCGGCGTCCTTCTCGGGGGGGAGTCATAAGCTGCACGCCAAGACCTCCAACATCTTGCAAACAACAAAAAACACAGCGGATATTGGGAGGGGAGTGCAAAGCAGGCTTCGGATTTCCGCGCGGACCTCGACACTTTCTGTTTATACCTTATGCTGTTTTTGTCCCACATCATAACTGGGGTTCTTGCTTTCCAAAGACATCCCGCGCAACTCACCCCTTCTCCTTACTGTCTTTCTCACCCACATCCTGATCCGCACTCTTTCACTCACTCCTTCACCCACTTACTCACTCATCACTCACTCACTCACTCATCACTCCCTCACTCACATACTCATCACTCACTCACTCACCCACTCACACACTCCCTCACCTACTCACTCACCCACTTACTCACTCACTAACTCGCTATCACACCATGATCATCACCACCATCATCACCAACTTCGTCATCACCTCACTCGCACTCACGCGCTCACCTCACACTCACAGACACACAGTCGCACACTCACAAACGCACCTCGAGGGGAGCTTCGAGCGGAAACCCCCGCCCTGTGGGTCCAGCGCTTCACGTTTTAATCACAACGGATCACCCCCAGACCTTAAACTTTCATCGCTTTGGGGCTCTACTGGCCTGGAGATGGAGGAAATCTCGAGCGGGAGCCCCGTCTGTGAGCGAATTGCGACGACATCTCAAGCGGGAGCCCTTTTCCTATGGGAACCTAACTTCGCGTTTCCAGTCCTACATGGTCATCCTCAAACCTCTAGTTGTCGCCGTTCTTGGGCTCCCCAAGCCTGAATATGGAGGAAGTCTCGGGCGGGAGCCGTGCTTGTGAGTGAATCGCGTGGAAAGTCTCAGTTGGGAGCCCCGTCCCTATGGGTCCCGCACGTCGCGTTCTTAATCCCAGGGGCTCACCCTCATGACAACTCAAGAAATCTCGGGCTGTAGCCTCGTCTGTGAGTGAATTGCGAGGAAGTCTCAGGCGGGAGGTATTCCCTATGGACCCCGCAATTCGTTTTTTTCTTGCGGCAGAAGGCGTCGTCATCGAAATTATGCAATCGTCACCGCTGGGCTCCCCAATCTCGTACATGGAGGAGGTCTCGAGCGGGACCTTCGTTTGTGAGTGAATTGAGGGGAAGTCTCAGGCGGTAGTGTTTTCCGATGGATCACGCATTTCATGTTTAATCCCATGTGTCATCTTCAAATCTGTAACTGTCGTCACCGTTGGGTTCCCCAGGCGCGAATACACAAGAAATCCACAACGGGAGCCGCCCCATCTGTGAGTGAATGTCGAGGTGGTATCGAGCAGGAACACGTCCCTATTGGGGTCCCCACCTCCACGTTCGAACCCGAGCGGGCCGTCCGAAGCATGTAACAGTCTTCACGGTCGGGCTCCCCAGGCTTGAGTACGGAGGAGGTCTCGAGCGCGGGCGTCGAATGTGAGTGAATCGCGAGGAAGTCTGGAGCGGGAGCCCCTCCCCAGCGGGCCCTCACCTCCATGGTTGAATGCGAGCGGGCCCTCCGAAACCTGTAAGGCTCGTCACCGTTGGGCTCCTCGGGCCTGAATTTGGAGGAGGTCTCGAGCGGGCTCGTCGTCTGTGGGTGCATCTCGAGGTCTCGAGCGGGAAGCATTCCCTGTTGGGTCCCCACCTCCACGTGCCCCTCCGAACGGGTCATCCGCATCTTGGAACTGCCGTCGCTCCTGGGTTCGTCGTGCCTGATGCTGGGGAGGTCTCGAGTGGGGGCGCCGTTTATGCAAGGGCTCCCAACTTCGCGCTTCGCGCTGCGCGAAGCGCGAAGCGCGAATAACTTCGCGCCCTCGCGCCGCCCCCCCGAAGGGAGAAAAGGAGGAGGGGGAGGAGGAACGAGGACCGCGAAGCGCGAAGCGCGAATAACTTCGCGCCCTCGAGGGAGCCCTTGCTGGGGAGGTCTCGAGTGGGGGCGCCGTTTATGAAGGAACCGCGAGGGACTGGTGAGCGAGAGCCCCTCCCCATGGGGTCCCCACCTTCACGTTCGACCAGGAAGGGGGCTTCTGGCGGAGCTCGCGGCAGAGCTAGGCTTTTTGCGCTGCCTCCCGCCTAAGAGCGAGGCGGCGCCCAACTCGAGCCCCGCGGGGGTTCCCCGAAGGCTTGCTTCCGCGCCCCAATCGGGGATGGACAGACCCCCCTTTAGTAAAACGTGGTTTAGTGAAAACGACCTGAGGCCCAAACCTGGCGGGCGCAAGCCTGGAAAATAACGGCCACGGCGCCCTCTCGAGAACCGAAAACGGACAATTCACTAATCGACGTGTCACTGTTGGGGGTTCTGTCCACCCCCGACCCAAGGGGTTGTCCCAAAAGTTTGCTCCCGAAGGTTTTCCCAAGGGCCCAGCCTCGCCATCCGGCCGTCGGAGACCGCGCGCATATGCCAGCAGTGGCGGCAACAATGCAGAGGAAAATCGGCATGCGTGCCCCAGCCATGGGGAAGGAGAGGGGGGGAAGAGGAGGAGGAAGGGGAGGAGGAGTGGTAGGAGGAGGAGGAGGAGGAGGAGGAGGAGGAGGAGGAGAAGGAGGAGGAGGAGGAGGAGGGGGAGGAGGAGGTGAACGACGAGGAGAATAGAAAGAGGAGGAGGAGGAACAGGACGGGGAGAAGGACGAGGACAAAAAGGAGGAGGCAGGAGGACGAGGAGGCACGATGGGGGTAGGAGGAGGGAGCCGGAGGATACCCCGCGACAAGCTGAACAGATTGTTATCATGTGGGGTCCGACCGTCGGAGAAACTGCCCTCGAGAGAAAGCGGAGGGCACAACAGAGACTGAGAGGAGTTCACGTGTGCGGACTCACTGGGCCTTACGGGCACTATGCCTGGGCATCGACCGCGCGCCACGACGGCAGAGATCGATCCTCACACCTCCAAGCCACCTCTACCTTTTGGTGGCCCGTCCTCCTCCTCCTCCTCCGCCTCCTCCAACTCCTCCAACACCACAATCTCTTCCAACTCAAAAGACTATTTCAACTCTTCCTCCTCTCGTCCTCCTCCTCCTCCTCCTCCTCATCCTCCTCCTCCCCCTGCCCCTCCTCGTCCTCATGCTCCGCCTCCTCCTCCTCCTCCTCCTCCTCCTCCCCTCCTGCCTCCTCCTCCTCTCCTCCTCCACTCCTCCTCCCCTGCCCTCCTCCTCCTCCTCCTCCTCCTCCTCCTCCTCCTCCTCCTCCTCCTCCTACCACTGGCTGGGGCCCTGGAGGGGCTCGTTTGTGGATTGTTGTGGAATGGGGGTCGCCAGCGCCGTGCTGGATACAGCACGGAAGGCCTGTGTGAAAAGTGTGATCTCTGATCTCCAGAAACAATCCGCCACCGTGTTTATGAGTGCCCCTGTGTTGCTAATCGTGAGCACCCCTGGATTCAGAGGGCTAACTATATGTGTCAGCGAGCCTTGGCAGACCTCGACAGCGAGGTTAACAAATCTCTGTGGCTGAAGAGCATTGTACCACACTCGTGGAATCAGGTGCCCCCGCCGCCAGGGTGGGGAGATACAGGAGCGTGGCGAATTCGTGCTGTCGATACCCCTGCCCCTGATTTGGACCCAGCTGGAGAGATCACCAATCCTGGACCCGACTCAGGGCTCGAACAGCTTTTCTGGATGGCTCTGGTTCGAGTTC